AGATGTTATTTATTCTCCTTTGTATTATACTAGCAATAGCTTTTCCTTCAATTTTCTAAACATGAAAATACTATATATAATTTAAATCCCCACAATCCATGTCCTGAAGTAACCTGTTCTCTGATGTCTTTAAGGCTTCACGGTCCTTGCTCCTATTGTTCTGTTAGGACCCAGCCATGACAAGCTCAATAGAGGCCTAAGTCTCAGTAGTTTACCCTAAGACAATACCTGGTTCCAAGAGAGACCACAAACTGAGACCACCCAGGCACCACCCAGGAACAGACCATCCAAAGGAAATTCCTAATGTCCCAACCATTGTAGATGGGATCACCTGCCAGCACACACCCATCGCTTTTCACCAAGACACCCCTAGACAAATGTCAGTCAATCAGGGGTCCTGAACCTTAGAAATCCCTCACCCCTACCTTTGCTATTATAAAAACTCAACCCCAACTGAGCTCGGGGCTCTCCAATCACTCCAATGTGTTGGACACATGGAGCGTTCGAGTTTGCAAACTTGGATAAGAATAAAGGCTCTTTGCTTTTACATACAGGACTCAGTCTTCTAGTTGGGTTTCGGGGGGATGGTCTCTGTGATCTGGGCGTAACAGTTCCAGGTCAACCTGGAACGAGGGAGGGCCACTAGCCACCTCTGTTCTCTGTTCCCTTTCCACTCTTATCCCCTCCTCCCCCTTGAACATGAACTTTCATTCATTACCACCCTATGAGCTTCAGTGACTCAAGGCTGGTGAATTCAGTCAACATTTACAAAGGTATTAACGAATCAATCCCACACCAGTTATGTTTTAAGGGGTTATTTATTTGGCGGGGGGTAAAACTTACATACACCATAAACCGTCAGGAAGGGAGCCTAGTCGCTGGAGCAGGAGCCGGGAGCAGCAGCTGAAACCGAGCACCGGAACCAAGAGGGCCTTATCCGGAACTGCTTCTCTTTTTAAGAGAGAAATATACCACGCCCCAGTGGGCTGGTATTTCAGCAGCTATTGGCTGACGGAGCGGAAGTCGCTCCCCGCTGCACTGTGGGCTCCTGCTTCAGTGATTATTGGTTGAGGCAGCGGAAGTTACTCCCACAACACAAAGGCAGACAAGGGAGCAAAGGACACAGCCCAACACAGCTGCCATCTTGAAATAGAAAACACTGCCCCTGGCCTCCCCCCAATACAGCCCACCGTTCTCTTCATGGGGTGTTTCTCACAGTTGGATGCTCCTTGGCTGGGAATGGAATTTGAATTTGGAAAATGGAATTTGAGTCTCTTGTCCACTGCCCCACCCCCTCCCTCTCCTGACCCTTCTGCTAATTGGCCAGCTGGTAGCACCCATGTTTCTGCTAATGTCTTAGGATGAGTGAGCTCTTTCATTCTTTTCTTCCCACCCCAAGCTCGACTGTAGTTTTACCTCCTGGGAAGCTCAGGCAGGCACCCTGGTTTCCATCCTCAATACAGACAGCCAGCAGAAGCTTTGAAATGGTGTTTCTAGGTCGAATTGCGATGCCTGCTGTCATGTATGATCAACAAGCGCTAACCAGGAGTCTGTGGTATCCGCTGGTCAGCTTTAATGGTGCCACTACTACCCCACACCTCTCCTAAGATCTCCTGCCCTCTGGTCTCCTCTCCCTCCACCCTAGAATTACTGCCCTCTGTGGATGTTGAAGAAAAGTTACACCAGAGAGTGGAACAAAGGTGAGGTCAAGTGTTCGGGCACTTAGATGGAATATTTGTGCTCCTGTGGTCATCTTGGAAGCAGTGGGCTTGAATTGTCTGTCTCATGTTATAGGAAGCTGCTTGTTTGTTTTCCTGGTCGCCCAGACCCCCCAAATAATCATATTATTTAAATCACTGCTTGGCCAATCACTTAAGTGTATTGCTAGCCAGCTCTTACATCTAGTATTAACCCATTTCCACTATTTTATATTTTACCATGAGGCTTGTGACCTACCAGTAAGGTTCCAATGTATCTGTTTCTGGTGGCAGCTCCATAGCTTTTTCTAAACTCTGCCTTCCTTTTTCCAGCATTCAGTTTAGTTTTCCCGTCTAGCTCTGTTCTGCCCTGCTCTGCTATAGACTCAAAGCAGTTTCTTTATTCACCAATGGTATTCACAGCATACAGAGGGGAATCCCACATCAGTCTCAGAGCATCTATTCCCCCTTTCATGTCTAGCACCCCAGTTCCTGTGGGAATTTATATGATTCCGGGAGGTTAAGGAGTATATTGTCTTTCTCCAGTCATAAGAACTGGCTTTGAGTAGTGTGATTGTTAATGCTTCTGTCCATAAACACTGTTTGGTTTTAACTAACATTTCTATTAGTATTCTGACTTGACCTGGTGGCCCAAGCCCATAATCCCAGCTAGTCAGAAGGCTGAGGCAGGAGGATGTCAAGTTCAAGCCAGTCTGAGTACTTTAGTAAGACCAAGTCTCAAATTACAAGGAGGAAAGGGGCTGGGCTGTAGTGCCATAGTAGAGTGCTTGCCTAGCCTGCAGGCAGGCCCTGTGAAAAAGCCTGAGCAACATAGACAGGAACATGTATGTCAAGCCCGAGGATTCTAGGCTTTCACACGGAAAGAATGGTGGAATTCAAACCATCCTTCACTTTTTCCCCTTTAGGGTTATGAGGAAGATAAATCTCAACACAGCACGTTTGCCAGGTACAGGCGTGATTAAGACCCTTGTATCAAGGGCAGGCAGATCCATTGGCTTTTGATGGGACTGCTCCTAGTGTCTTCAGAGATAAAATGGGGTTACAGTGCCCACCACAGAGGGGCACGCAGAACATTCAATGAGCTGATAGAAACTGATCACTTAGAATAATGCCTGGGTCATACGAAATCCAGGTGGCGGCAGTGGTGGTGTGTGGTAGAACCCAGCATCAACTGCGTGGTGGTGGCACACGCCTTTAATCCCAGCACTTGGGAGACAGAGGCAGGCGGATCTCTGTGAGTTCGAGGGCAGCCTGGTTTACAAAGTGAGTTCCAGGATAGCCAAGGCTGTTACACAGAGAAACCCTGTCTTGGAAAACCAAAACCAAAACCAAACAAACCAAAACAAAAAACCAGTGCTCCAGGGACCTCTCAAAGCTTTGGATCAAGCTGAGGAAGCAGTGGACAAGGATCCTAGCTCCAGACTTTTCAGTGACACAAACTCAGAAATTCCTTTCGTGATTTAAACCTATTTGGGTTGGGTTCTGGTTGTTTCCACTGAAGGAGGGATCCCTTCCTGTTTTAACTGCCGAGTGATTTCTTTTTTCCAGGACTACAAAGCATAAAAGGCTTATCCACCCCCCCACCCCTCACCCCCACACCCCCCCCACCCCGCAGAAAATGCAGCTGCCGCCTCTCTCCAATGTGTGCCAGTTTTCAGTGGTTCCAGGAAGCCCGTTTCTACCCATCCATGGGGAACTTCCTTCAGTACCCTCACAGCGGTTTATCCTTCTGCGGCAGTCATCCAGTGATTTCTGGGTAGCTGTGAACACACATTTCGCTGAAGAGGAAGCAGAAATGAACTATAAACAATGAGTAGACGATTTGCTTGAGGAAAATGCATATTATAAACACAGACACTTCATCTCAAAACTTTATAAACCGTGCGGAATCAAGGGGAGCGTAAACTGAACGGTCTACGGTTTACAAAGCCGCGTACAAAAACTGGCATCATGCAAAGCTGAGCATGTCTATAATCTCCTAAAGCAGTAGCTCTACTGATTCTGCCCTAGACACAGACAAGCGCCCCGGAGACACAAGGTTGTATAGTGATGCACCATGGGGAATAGCAAAGGGCAAGAAAGGATTCCTAGCACAAGAGGATAACAATGACACAAACATTTACTAATGAATTCCAAAGGCAACGTGAGTGAACTAGCGCTCCATGCAGGTGTGCAGACTTTAAAATTACGGCTTTGGTAACGATACTTGAAACTCACCAAATGTTACTTATAATTATGTAATAATTATACATAGGAGCATAGTCAAGGCTGAAAAGCATTAAAATGCTTTACAAATAAAAAGGATTGCTATGGTTGGGAAGAAGAGTCTCAAAACTATTTAAGTTTTTATCTCCTAATTCAGCAATTAGGGTGCTTGTGTTTTATCTTTACAATATTATATTCCTTTGCATGCATATTTTTATTGTGATAAATATATTACATAAAATTGGACATTCCATTTTTTCATTCTAATCATTTTTTAAGTTTATGATTTGGTGGAATTAAATACATCCACCTTTTTGTGCAGCTATCTACCCCCTCCTCCCCATCTCTATACTTAGAGCCAACTGTGTTTTAAGTTAATCAAGAAATCATTGTCGGGTTGGAGAGATGGCTCAGACGTTTAGAACCTCTTACTGAAGACCCGGGGTTCGACTCTGAGTACACGCATGGTGGCTCACAAACTGAACTCTAGTTTCAGGTGTCCTATGCTCTCTTCTGACCTCCACAGGAACCATTCACGTCACGTACATCTGTCTCCCTCCCTCCTTCCCTCCCACACACAAAACATTCATACACATAAATAAAAAAAAAATCATTGCCAAGACAATTGTTTTGACTCAGTTTCCTTCTGAGTTTCGCCATTTTAGCTCTAAGGTCTTTGGTCCATTTAAGTTTTTTCCATTCTTTTGAACCACGAGTTTTCAAAAAAGAATCACGAGTATGGGATCAGAAGGGATCTTCCCTGTTTATAAAGGGAGGACCAATAACATGTCAAGTTCAACAGGTCACTGCTTGCAAGGAGCTAAAAGCAGAGTCTGCATTTCTCAATGCAAGGAGCTCGACAACCGTCCCTAAACAAGCAAATAAGCTTCCCGGAAGTCCAGGAGCGACTCGGGCCCACCAATACCCGCACCATCCGGGTCATGTCCCCGCCCACGGATTTCCGAAACCCTGGAGCGGGATTGGTGTAGGAGGGAGAGTCCGGTGGCAGCTCAGCGGTGCGCGTCGGAACTCCGCTCTGCCGCAGAGCTAAATCCATCCAGGTCCGAGTCTTCGTCATGCTCTCGCGCTAGAGGCCGGCTGGGCCCGCCCCGGAAGTGGCGGGGCAGAGACGGGACTAGACTCTGATTGGCTGCTCCGAACAGCGCTAGCTTGGCGCGAGTTTTGGCAGTCCGGGGTGTCGGGAGCGGTAGGATGGTGGCTCGGAGAAGCTTGAGATACCCGGGGTCCCCGGGGTAAGTGCATCTGCCCCGCACGCCTCCCAGGACGGGCTCAGCTTGTCTCAGAGACTCGCCGACCCGGCCTCGGTTCCCACAGTTCCGGCCCTAGAGTCGTGGGGAGGGGGATATAGTCCCAGGAGTCCAGCTGGGTGCGATAGCAACTCCGACACCAGCGTTGCTGTGTGTGACAAACACATATTTAACAAATTCTTCCTGCTTGGTGGTCAGTTGTTTTTTTTTCCAAGACCCAGCAGTTTTCGTCATAGGCAACATGGACCCTGCAGCCAAACCAGATCTCTAGCGAGGCCAAGCAGCCGCTTGTTTATATTTGGGATGACCTAAATGCCTAAGGGATATACAGGGTGCGTCAGGCATCTTTTTATTATAAAGAGAAATGCATCTGAAAAGAGGTCACCAAATTGTGCTCTGGAAGGTTGGTTCTAGGATCTCCTGGCGAAGGATGTTTGGGGAGTGTCTGGCGCGCATCCAAAACCTGGTAGGGATCTGGGTAAAAAGGCCTCTGCTGGGTAGGAGGCCTTCCGTGGGAAGATTGCCTATGGAAAATGGTGTTTGTAGGTACCGAAGACACTCGGTTTGCAGTGGAAGATTGCAAGTCAGCTGACTAGGGAAATGTTCCAAAAATCTTCTAAGCCATTGGGTTTTGTTTCAGCATCTTGAGGCTTGAGCCTCGTGAAGTCTGTTCCCTCTTCACTCCTAAAACACCGGCGCCGACAACAGAGATTTTGTAGGTGGTTATCTTAGGGATTTCCATCGTTTGAAGGTTAAGCAGCTTGTGCACCTGATTTTCATACCTGCTTCCCTCATGGGGGGCAATCAGAAGTCACTTAAGCTTTCTGAACCTCGGGATTGCAGTCTGTAGTTACCACAGATCAAATATTCTGTCAGTCTGAGAATCGGCTAAAGCTGGGCACTGGTTAGAAATGGGAAATCTTAGCCTCAGCCCAGAGTTTCTGTGATATCGAATACTGGGGGTGTGGTGACTTCAGGCAATTTGTTTTTAACAAGCTAGCTAGACAAAGCAGCGATGGGTACCACCAACTTCAGTTCTGGAGATGAAACCTAGGGCCCAAGTATGCTGGACAAGTGTACCAATGGCCTGCATCCTCAGCCCAAGCCTTTTAGGCAGCTCTGACGTCAGCTAAAATTTGAGAACCAGGGTTAGAGTACAGGACTCACGCAGATAGACAGGCTAAGTCTTAGGAAAATTCTCTTCCCAGTGCTGCTTGTTGAAAGCATCTTATTGCAGTTCATAGGAGGATACCCCTTTGTGTTGTAACCTAACACACACAGTGGAGATGGTTTACAAAGTGGGGTGTTGAGCGCAAGCCCCTTCCCATTCTGCTTCCTTTGTTGCCATGGTGTCTGCTCTGCTCTGCTGGGTGAGCACTGACAAAGAGAACAGTTGGGAAAGGATTGCTTGGGAAAAATCACAGCTTATAGTGCTTTCCCAAATTACTTAAGACATTTTTAAATTCCCTCTTTTGACTCTGTTGTCTGTGTTTTAATAGTGCAAAGCAATCAAAGAATGCTCTGGGAAGAACACGTTCTAGGAGACACGTAAGTGATCTTTGTTAACATGATTTTTCTTTTTTAACCATTGAAAACGAAGTCATTCCGTGGGAAATACATTTTTGTAGACTACTCTTGACAAACTTTTTTTTAATGATAGCTTAAAACTTTGCTTTATCAGTTGGCGGTAGTAGCACATGCATTTAATCCCAGCACTCAGGAGGCAGAGGCAGGTGGATCTCTGTGATTTTGAGATCAGCCTGGTCTACAAAGCGAGTTTCAGGACAGCTAAGGCTACACATAGAAACCCTGTCTCAGGAGAAGAAAAGTGCTTTTTCCAGTATGATGGAGAAAAGGAACTTCATCAACACTTTATTTTTTTAAAAAAATATTTATTTATTTATATTTTTGCATACATTGGTGTTTTGCCATGAGTGTTGGGTCTCCTGGAACTAGAATTACAGACAGTTGTAAGCTGCCATGTGGGTGCTGGGAATTGAACCCAGGTCCTCTGGAAGAGCAGTCAGTGCTCTTAACCACTGAGCCATCTCCCTAGCCCCTCATCAACACTTTAGAACCATCTTTTGCCGGTTGGTAGTGGCGCTTGGGAATCAGACGCAGGTGGATCTTAGTGAGTTTGAAGCTAGCCTGGTCTACAAAGCAAGTTCCAGGACAGCCAGTACTGTTACATGGAGAAACCCTGTCTCAAAAAAACCAAAAAGAAAAAAAGAAAAAAATTCTTTTTTTGCGCCTAGATTGACATTAATTTTATTCAGATATTGACATCGTGTAAAAGTTGTAAAATGTTCTGTATTGTCATTTTTCACTTAGAGTAATTTCTCCCTGCTATAGTTTTTAACAGCTGTGTGTGGGCCTATGGTATTCCTCTTGGTCAATGCTATAGTTTTGTTTTTCTTTAGGAAGTGTTAAAGGCAAATGCATTTGCTTAACACTCTTGATTGCTAATTCCAAAATACCTATATTGCCATTTCCCATTAGGGTGATGAAGGTGCTTGCTTTTCCAGGTTAGGACTAGCTCTTCAGAGCGCTGGTGGCCTTCTTCACTGTCCCTGACTTTCTCCATCTTCGGCAGGTTCCCTGCCCTGCTGCCCTGACTCTAGCCTGGATGATGCTCCCTTACTGTGGCGAAACTCTAGCATACCTCTGGGGGATCCTGCTCCGCTTTCCTGCCCACCACCGCTCAGGGTGGCTAAAGTCCACTGTGCCCAGGGGTGGGGTGGGGGTGGGGAGTGGTTCTCTACTCACTTATGCCCCTTCCCAGCCTTTCTGGTCGGCTTTCAGGTCCTCCCTGGGTGAGGGAGTTACCTTGTGTGTGAGGGAGGCATCCTTGGCTGGAGAGCAAATCTTAGGCTGTCTCTTGGCCTTTCTCCATATAACACTCTGGATGCGGCTTTCCCCGAGGCTCGGAGTTTTGTCTGCCAGTGTAATTGCATATCCTTAATATCTTCCAGACTTTCCTTATCTGTAATAATAATATCCTCTTGTATTTTGTAAGCTACCATAGAAGATGATCTCATTTGGTCTTTCATTGGGATTAGGGTTTCGTCTGTGTATTGAAACAGATTGAACTGTAAGTCCTGTTCTCTGCCCTGTGTCCAGTCAAAACTGCTCATGAGCTTGTGCCCTTTTCCTGGGGGAGGGGATCATATTGTGCCCTACATCAAGGATTTAGGTAAATGATACATGTGGGCCAAAGGAAGCCTGCCATTTGTTTTTGTACAGCCTTGTGAACTAAGAATGGTTTTTGTTGTTTGTTGTATTTTAAAATGATTTAAATAAACTGGAGAGGATGACTCATAATTTTATAATCCTATATAATCCTGTTTATAATCCTAATACTTAGGAGGACTCCTGAACGTTGAGTTCAAGGCCAGCCTGGAGTACACAATGAAACCCTGTCTCAAAAAATAAAATAAAGGTGACCTAAATGAAGATTTCTCATGCCCTGTGAAAATGATAGGAAATTTCAGTGCCCAGAAGTCAGTTCTGTTGAAACACAGCCATGTTCATTCCTCCCTAGCTTGTCAATATCTGCTTCTGTACATAGTGACTCTGCTTAATAGTTGGTAGAGAAATCTAGTGTCTACTCTCTGGTCTCCATACGAGTGTTTCATCTTTCCCTGTTCTGAATCATCAAAGTAGTGCGAGGTTCAAAAGCGTCAAGTGCTTCTAGGAACTGTAGGACTCCTTAGGAGGACCATAGGGTCCTTAGGAGATGAGCGTGGTCAAGTTCACGGTCTACATTTCAGTGACTGCTTTTATTCCCTTTTAGCGAGCTGTTCAAAAGCACAAGCCAAAGGATCCATTTGACTTTTCGGATAATTCTGTCTCGAGCATGATGGGAGAAACGGGAGAGGAAGAGGAACTGAATGAATCCTTCGGTTCGTGTTCTATATTCCTGTTCAGGACGTGGACACAGCGGTGCTTAGTTAGCATCTCCGTTATCTAAGGCCAGAGCAGGTTTGGCCTGGAGAACCCTCCCCACACCAGCCAGCCCCCTTTCCCTTCCTTTGGTCCCTGGACACCGTAAATTTACTTCCAAACTCTATGTCTTTGTCTCTTCTGACATTTCATATAAATAGAATCATAGACTATCTATCCTGTTCTGGTGAACTTCTTTGAATTAATATCATGTTTTCAGGGTTGTAGCATGTATCTACTTCATTCATAAATTTTATGGCTTACTAATATTCAGTTGGCTTTGGGTTTTTTTTTTCTTGATCACAATTCTGCTATGAACATTCATGGTCAAGGTTGTGTGTGTGAATGTGTGCGTGTGTGTGCCTGTGTGTGTGTACGCAGTACCTGTTAGGTTTTTTGAGGCATATCCCTAGGAGAACTGTTGAATCTATAGTGAGTTTATACCAACTTTGGTGTTAACATTCTGACTTTTTATTCTAACCAATCTAGTGGGTATAAAATAATGTCTCCTTGTGGTGTTGCTTGCATAAAGAGTTGATCTACACACAAACTTCGCTATTTTAACCAGTTTTGAACACACAGTAGTCCATGGCAGAGAGATCCATTCACACTGCTGGGTAGCCACCTCTCACCATTCATCTTCAGAGCGCTCAGTATCCTGACTCAGACTCCTAGCCAGTAAGCAGCTCCCTGTTCTTCTGGTCCAGCCCCAGGCAGCTACTCTGTGAATTAGGCGACTCTAGGAGCCTCATGTGAGAGGAAGGTTCATGGCTGTCTTAGTTAGGGTTGCTATTGCTGTGATGAAGCACCGTGGCCAGAGCAAGCTGGGAGGAAAGGGTCTGTTTGGCTTATACGTCTCTTCACTGCCGTCATCGAGGGAAGTCGGGACAGGAACTTAGAGGACAGAAACCTGGGGGCAGGAGCTGATGCAGAGGCCATGGAAGGGTACTGCTTATTGGCTTGATTCTCATGGAGCCTGCTTTCTTATAGAACCCAGGACCGTGGGGCCAGGAATGGCCCCACCCACAATGGGCTGGGCCTTCCCCCATCAATCACTAATAAAAAAAAAATGCCTTACAGGTTTGTCTGCAGCCTGATCTTCTGGAGGCGTTTTCTCTACTGAGGCTCCCTCCTCTCGGATGACTTGTGTCAAGTTGATATAAAACTGCCCAGCACGCTTGTCCTCTTGCATCTGGCTAATTTCACCCAGTGTATTGCCTTTCGGGTCATGACTCCCGTCATGTTTTAGAACTGCCTTTGGTCCTGTTACGTGTGTCTGTGGTGCTGGGGACCGGCTCAGGATCTTGCCTACAGTCCAGGACTGTTTCTGTAAGCCCAATCCCAGCTGAATGTGGTAGCACACTGTAATCATCGCCCCTGGGAGGTAGGGGGAGGCAGTAAGACCAACTGTTGAAAGTCATGCTTGAGTATACAGCCTGGGCTACATGAAGCTTGGTCTCAAAACATAGCAGCAACACAAAGCGGGCTTGGTCATGCACTCATCTGTCAGTGAAAATTTGGTGTGCAAATGTCTGAGTCCCTGCTTTCATTATTGTGCAGGTACCCACAAGTAGGACTCCTGGGGTGTACATCAGCCATACCGGTTGTGGGGCTGTGTGTTTGAGGACTCCTCGATACCGTTTCCCACGGTGGCTGCCACAGTTCATATCTTACATTGGTGTGTGTGGCTCAGCTCCTGGCTTACTCAGCCTTGCTACTTTGGACTTTCTCCTCTTTGTTTCTTCTCTTTCTCTTTCCTCTTTTCTCTTTTCCTGATTATACTTGTGTAAGAGATGTGAAATGTATCCAATGGTTGTATACGCATTTCCACAACGATGTCAGATGTCCTCTGGGTGTGCTCTTGGTCGGTTGTCAATCTTCAGAGAGCTGACCACTTGTGAAAGTTCAGGATTGATTTGTCTTTGTGCATCCGCTGATGACCTTCACCCCCAGCTGTAGAAGAAGTAAATGCCATTGCTTAGTTGAGGGCATCACGGAATATATTACCAGCCTTAAAATCATGCAGCTGACATGTTCAGTATTTAAACTGCTATTTATTTTGGAAAGAAAGATTTTAAGTTTGCACATCTTGCTAACATTTGAACATAAAAAAAACAAAACAAAACTGGTTGCTTGGCTCTTCCCAGCTCCCCTTGCAGCAATTAAGTCTGTTGAGGCTTCAGATTTTCCATCCCTGCCACATCCACTCCCCCCAGCAGGTAGAAGCGGCCTTAGCATCCCCTTTCCCTGCCTTTCCACCAAGGCCATGTTGTTGCCTGCGTCTTCCTTCAGGTTCACTTCCTGCTCTAGTGTAAAGGCTTTGCAGTCCAGGTGGACTCAGAGGACCGGAAGTGAGAGAGGACAGGCACCCTCCCCAGTGCCTTCTAAATGTTCGGTACTTGTGAGTGATGAAGTCAGAGGGGGCACACTGTAAACTCGAGCATTGCTAACTAGTGCAGAGGCCTCGAGGGATGTGTTCAATAATGCACATACGTAGTGGTAAGGAAAGACCCTGTTAGGCTTCCTATTCATGTTTATCTTGTGCTATGAAAACATTTCTATTAATATACATGAGAATAGAGATATATAATTTGAAAACATGTCTTTAAAATTTTTTAGATTTATTTTGTGTGTCTGAGGGTTTTGCTTGCATGTATGTCTGTACCATGTGCATGCTTGGTGGTTATGGAGACCAGAAGAAGATGTCCTGGAATTGGAGTTACAGAAGGTTTAAAAGCTGCCTTGTGGGTTCTGGGAGTCAAGTCCAGGTCCCTGACAAGAACAACAAGTGCTCTCAGCCAGTAGGCCACTTCTCTAGCCCCTGAAACCATGCTTTTATTGGCAATAAGGTTTACATTTTCTATTACTGAGGGATGAGTTAAAATATATCTGGGAAGTGGCTTGTGTGATAGACTTTGTTTTGGTTGGCCATTTAAACCAAGATTGCCTTGGATCCATGTCAGGGAATACGACTTCATTCCCTAGACAGCCGGTGCTAAAGTTGCTCTTCTGTTTTTGTAGACCCTCCTCTGCACAGTACTGTTATCGATGCCGAAGAGGAGCTGCCCAAAAGGCCGTCTGTCTTTCCAGCCACTCATGGAAGAGAAGAGGGCAGAAGGTATGGGTCCATGTAACATGAGGGCCGGCTTGTTGGGGTATCTGTTCCTGCCCAGTACCCCACAGCCGGCAAGTCCCAGAGAAAATCAATCACACAGAGATCTCTATAAGTTATAAAGCTGATTGGCCCATTAGGTCAGGCTACTTATAACTTATGTTATAAGGCTCTTATAACTTATGTTGCCCCATTATCCTTATCTACGTTAGCACATGGCTCAGTACCTTTTCCAGCAGGGCAGCTTACATCTTTCCTCTCCGGTGGTCTGGGTGGTCTGGGCAGAACTGCGGAGGGAGCTTCCTGTTTTCCCAGAATACTCCCAGTCTCTTTGCTCCACCCCTACTTCCTGTCTGGCTTTCCTGCCTATACTGCCTGCCTGGCCAATCAGCGTTTTATTAAAATATGATTGACAGAATACAGACAATTCTCCCGCAGGTCCATCTCAAGCAGATTGTTTGGTTTGTTTGGGGGAGGATTAAATTTACTTTAACTATTTTTAATTTTGTGTGTGGGTATTTGCAGGTGAGCACAGGTGCCCTAGGAATCCAGAAGCGTTGGATCCCCTGGTGCCGGAGTGTTTTAGTTAGGGCCTTATTTCTGTGTTGAGACACCATGACCATGACAATTCTTATAAAGAAAAACATTTAATTGGGATGGAAACTTACAGTTCAGAGGTTCAGTCTATCATCATCATGGAGGAACATGTTGGCGTGCAGGCAGACATGGTGCTGGAGAGGTAGCTGAGAGTTTTACATCTTGATATGTCAGCAACAGTGTAACGTCTGTACTACTTCATGTAGTATGATCCTGTATTGCCTGTACTACATGTATTACAGTACTATGCCTGTACTACGGGACGGTTTGTGGGCCTGGCTGGCAAGGGCCTGGATATTGACACACACAAATAGAGACAGAGACACGGGTCTTGAATTCCCCAAGAATGCCCCCTTTATTGTGTTCTAGGGCAGCTTATATAGGGATCCTTAATGGATAGCCACGCCCCAGCCAAACCCACCAGAAACCACTCCCCTGCCATCAGGAACTCCTGAGGGTCTCCTGCTCAGAGCTACTGCAAACACAGGAAAACAAGTTGTTTTGCTCAGAGCAGCTGCAAGCATTGGAAAAACAAGTTGTTTACAGGAAATTCAGGGTCTGGGGGTCCACAGTCCCCAACACAACAGGAAGTGAACTGCTTCACTGGGCATGACTTGAGCTTGTATGAGGCCTCAGAGCCCTCCTCCCACCAGACCACACCTCCATAAAGTGTCACTCCTGAGGAGCTTGATGCGGACAATTACATTCAAACTACCCCACAGAATTACAGATGGTTTTGTAAGGCCTGCCCGCCGCAGGCAGAAAACCCTTCACAGCCCACTGGTTTTCACGGTGAAGTGTCGTGTACAGAGTGTCATGTACACGGTGCTGATGGCTTGTTGTTTGGCAGCTTGAACCTTTCTGAGACTGAAGCAAAGGGAAGCAGTTCTCTAGAGAGCAGCACGAAAAAGGTATGTGGGAGTGTTCTTTCTTCTCTTTATTTCTAAGAAACCTTTTTACTTGGAGTAGATGCAAATAGAGAAAAAAAATCCTGTAGCAGTATTTTTATAATAATGATATTCGTGTGTGTGTGTGTGTGTGTGTGTGTGTGTGTGACATGTACAGGATGCAGTGGGAATCCACTCGACACTTTCACCCTGTGGGTCTTAGGGACTATACTGGACAACTGTGGGAGTCCACTTGACACTTCCACCTTGTGGGTCTGAACACAGACCTGGTGGCACGTGTCTCTCCCTGTCACACTATCAGACTAGCCCAGAAAAATATGTTTATTCCCGAAGTGTTATGAAAGACTTCTCAGCTCTCCTTCCCCAGCCAGTTTCTATGGCATTCTGATAGTGTACTCGGGTTGTAGCTTTCAAAGGCTGAGAGAACTAGGTGGCATTCTAATCCTGCTGTCTTCTAGATATGTGCTCAGTTTTGATGTTTATGAGTGAGAAATGGGAATCCCATAGTTTCTTGACAAGGAATCATAAGATTTAAGTTTTCTTTTCTTTGTTTTGAAACACAGTTTCTCTGTGTAACAGCCCTGGCTGGCCTCAAACTCACTTTGTGGACCAGGCTGGCCTCGAGCTCACAGAGATCCGCTTGTCTAAGAGTTGAATTTTCTAAACAAGCAATGCTGTTTCCTTCATAGCCAAGGAAGCTTGAGCCCATCAGCGATGAGTTTGAGAGCTCTGAAGATGACGTAAGGAGGAAAGCAAGGTCCATAGTGAGAACACGCACACAGCAGCACCAGGCGGCACCCCCTGTGGAGCTGGCACCGCAGCACCAGGCGGCACCCCCTGTGGAGCTGGCACAGCAGCACCGGGTGGCACCCCCTGTGAAGCCGGCACAGCAGCACCAGGTGGCACCCCCTGTGGAGCCAGCGGAAAACCTTGCGGCCAAGAAGACGAGACCCCAAGGCCCTCAGCCCTCTGCTGTAGTAGAGACTCGAGCAATACAGAGACCGCCGGTGAGCAGTGTTTGCCACCTGCCCCTCAGAGAGAAAAGTTCATTAAAAAGATTAAGAAGGGACTGGAGAGATGACTCAGTGTTCCTCTCGAGGATCGGAGTTCAGTTCCCAGTACCTGTGCTAGGCAGCTTACACTGCTTATAACCACAGCTCCAGGGGCTCTGACACCCTGACTTCTGGGGGTGCTTGCATTCCTGTCATATACTCCTCCCCCATACACATCATTTAAACATAACAAAAATAAATCTAAGAAAAAGACTAAGGAGGAATTTTTTTTAATTTTAAAAATAAGTTTAGAGCTTTTATTACAGAAAGCAATGTTTCTTTTAGAAAATCCAGAAAAATCTAGAAAGGAAGATAAATTTATCTGCGATTCCATAGCCCAGCAACAATATCTGTGTCCTGGTGTGTGCCCCAGTCCTTCCGCGGCATCCTTTTAGCCAGTGCTTGCACTCCATAGTATCTGTTGATGAAAATTACAATTTTGATGCTTTGAAGGGTTTATTAATTATTTATTTATTTTTGATATTGTAGTGTGATCACATTTCTCCCTTTTCCTCTCTCCAAACCCTCCCATACACCCCATTGTTCGTTTTCAAATACATGACTTCTTCTTTTCCTAATTATTAGGGTATATGGATGTGTGTGGGTGTGTCTTCCTCAGTGTGTAAGTATAACCTGCTCAGTGATAGATTACATTGTAGCAAAGTCTTCATATACACCCTTGATTTGGTTCCTTATGAAAAAAATGCTATGGGTCATAATTTGTTTTTGAGATAACTGAAATATAGTATCTTTTGGTTCATGTTCTTATATATTGTTTTATTAACTCATTTGGTTGATTATTTTAGATAAATAATTTTGCTTATATTAGTAGCCAAAGATATACGCTCATGAATTATATGTGTACCCACGAACGTCGTCATAGGTATTCTTCTAAGAGGGATGGAGACTAGACACAGAGAGGGTGTGAAGATGGTGAAGCAGCCATAGCACCAGTCACAGCCACCAGAAGCTGGACCGGACAGAGAACGCTTTTACTCCCACCCCGACTTACTGGTGTGCTGGGGACTGCCTGTGTCCTGATCGCCTCACTTCCTCCCCACCCTGCCTAGACAGGATGGCACCTACTTCAGCCTTTGCTTCCTTGTTTGCACTGTCTTTTGGCTCAATTTCTCTTCAGTCTGTTTTTGTCCCAACTCTGGGTCACATTTTCTTGTATGTCTGTTTTAGTCTAGAATTTGAAATGTAGTCCATGTTGTTTAGCGATGTTGAGCTCTGTGTCACAGCTTCTGTGAGTTGCTATCCTGGCAGACTCAGCCTGACATTTGCCTGGGGTTTGAGGTTACCAGCTTGGTTTTATCCTTTGCTGGGATGAGTGTGTAGAAAGCCTAAGACATTTTCCCGTTATCTATCTTAGTGGGACTCCACCTCTCTGTTTATAATTGCTTCACACTAATTACCACAGAGTTGGTTGCTTACACACGCACGTTTATCATGTCGTAGCTTCTACAGGCTGGGAGTCCAGCTTCAGTTTAGCTGGCTCCTCTGCTCAGGGTGGTAGAAGGCGGAAATCCAGGGCTGACATCTCAGGTGAGGCTTGAATTTCTCCTTACAGAGTTTTCGAGTTGTTGACAGAGTTAAGTTCATTAAGGCTTTAATCCTAAGGTCCCTATGTTCTGTCCTCTTGGAGGTTGAGGTTGCTCTCAGTTCCTGCAGGTGCTATTATGTGGCCCTTGAAGGATGGTGCCTGCGCCTGCAGAGCCAGCCCCAGACTCTCCAGGCTCCCACAGTGATGGCTCACCCACCTGTAGAATCCAGGGAACAGACCCGGTCCTGTTCCCAGGTGCCGCCCACACTCGAGAGGGAGGGAATTGTGCCTGTCAGTCATCTTGGAATTCTTCGTACTACAACCCTTGTGCTCTTCCTGGTAGATCCCAACAGGAGCTAGGTTTAGGCTTTGTTAGGATAGCGGGTCTCGAGTGGGGCGTTTCTCAGCATGCTGTCATCGCTGTTGTCTCTCTCAGGCATGCTCCCATCAGCACCCACAGATGCACCTCACCGCTGCAGCGTGTTGTGTGTAGCTTCGTGTACTGGGACCCCTTGGCCCGAGATTGTTCTTCAGTTTTCCTACGAACTAAACAAGAACTGTAGTTAATATCCATTGATGGTTTGCTAATGTTGTTGTCCTAATCTTTAAATTTTAGAGAAAAAACAATTTTCCTAAATAACTATACTATTTATTTTATGTTTGTTGTTTTTTGGTAGAAAACTCAGAAGAAAGTGAAGCCGTCTCCTGGCAGAAGGAAGAAATCAAGAAGCGAAGCCACAGACTCAGGTACAGGCTGGTACTCAATACCTTGTCGCTTTAAAGTTTCCCATTTTTAAGTTGTCTTAGTTGTTGGAAGAGCAAACTTTATTGGGGTGGGCGTGGTGTTGAGATAGTGTCTCTCTGGACAGCCCTAGCTGTCCTGGAACTCACTGTGTAGATCAGGCTGGCCTTGAACTCCCAATATCCATCTGCCTCTACCCCTCCAAGAGTACCAGAGCTAAAGGCATACACCACCATCTTGGCTAAAACTGCCCCATGATTAAGAAATTATGACATTGGAGTAACATTTTTTTCTGTTTTATTATTTTATCATGAATTTAAAAAATGAATACTCGTACATACATATAATATTGTTTGATAAAATCCAACCCCATTCTTTCCCTCTCCTCCTTATTCGTCTAAAGTTTAGGTGTTCCTAGTACCCACACATCAGGCAGTTTACAGTAGTTCCAGGGCCTGTGTGCCCTCTTCTGGCCTCTGGGTGCCTGCACACACAGACACACAAGCAAGCTAAAGTCTTGTGTAGATGGAATTGCTGCAGCGGTGAGTCACGTCCTTGCTCACTACAGTCGATTGTAAAGAAAGCCTGACCCCTCCCCCTTTTGTTTTCTCTTCCCTTTCTTCCTGTATGTTTTTAGCCCTTGCAGTGGTAGAGATTTAGCTCCTGGCCTTGCCCATTCTAGGAAAGTGGATTGAGCTATAGCTCCAGCCTCTTTATGAACTGCCTCCTGCCCCATGGACATTTTTATGCACAATTTATCAACGTGGTTTTGTTATTAACATGTTTTTATTTCTCTTGGAGAAGTAGAGAGTGAAGTTGTTGAGTCATAAGACAGATATATCTCAGTTTCCCAAGTCATTGTAAACTACTATATGCTTGCTGTACAGTTAAAAACAGCACTGAAAATAGGAGTGGCAGTGTCATGTGCCTAAGTATAATGGAGTTTAGTGGAGCTGGCAGGAGAGCCCACTCTGCAGCACATTGATACATAGACCCTGACTCAAAAGGTGAGCCGTAGTCGCAGGAAGGAGTGGGAGTTGGCAGGTTTGTTCTCTGGCCGGGGGGCAGGAAGAAATGAACGTGGTTTTAGCTCCTTTTACACCCTGGAGGACTATTTTTGTTCAGGGTTCAGAGTCCTGGACCTAGAGCCAATTTGCAGATAACGAATGTATTAAACTGACATGTGATTACTATTCTAGATGCTTCTGAAAGTATGCACATTTGGTGTCTAGAAGGAAAGAGACGTGGTGACATCATGGAGTTGGATGTTATTTTGTCTGTGTTTGAGAAAACCTTCCTGGAGTATAAGTAAGTCCGTTGACGCTGTCATCCGTGGACCTTGCTCGGAGTGCCACTGTGTCCGTCCTGGTTTCAGTGTTACTACATTTAAGATGTCTTTACACTTTCATTATAATCCTTCTACATACATTTATTGTGCTAGTATCATAAAGAATCATCTAGTCTAGACGTTTCTCGTAGACATTAATCTAGAAGTAAGTGTGTCCCCCAGTGCTGTCAGTGTTTCTCCGTCGGAAAGTGTATGCCAGCTGTGGCCACACTCCAGTCCCTTCCGTCTCCCATGAAAGCAGTGATGAGGGAAGAGCCCGTGGTTGCCGAGAACGGGCTGCAGCAGGGCGTCACTCCTGTGATTCTCTGTAGCACGCTTGCTTTCGTGCCGCCAACCAGCTCCCAAATCACGACTCAGAGACTTCATATTAGTTATGAGTGCTCAGCCTCATCTTATGCTTGCCCCACGAGCGCTTATGATTTAATTAACCTGTTTTTCTTCATCCACATTTGCTTTGGGCTTTTTACCTTCCTTTCATCCTGAATGTCCTACTCCGTGGCTGGCTGGCTGGTGGCTGCCTGGCTGGCCCTGAGCGCTCCCTCTTTCTCTCTCCATTTTCCCTTCTAACCTAGATTTCTCCTCCTACTTATTAGCTCTGCTCACCAGCCCTGCCTATCCCTCTACTGCCTAGAATATCTATTGGACATTTCAGTTTTTTATTAGACCAGTCAGGTGCCTTAGGCAGTCAAGGTAAAACAACAACACATCTTTACATCAAACGCAGCATAAACAAGCGTGACCCATCTTTGCATAGTTAAAGCACTATTCTGCAACACCCCTCTGGGCAGCATCAAAATAAATATGTGTACCTTTAGTTTTTTTTCTCCAGCCTGGGGTTCGCTGGGGAAAGTTGGAGAAGCAGCTGAAGTCAGGGCTCACTCTTCCTCCAGCCTTGTACTTTCCTGAAGAGAGTGATTCATAAAATTTAAGATCTTAAACAAAAATATTTTAAAATGCAGCCTGGCAGAGGGTCTGAGAGACATGGACTAGTCACGCCCAGCTGTGAATGCGTCTGACTTTTCTGAGAACAGGATCCACTGGGACGATAGTGAGTCAGTGAGTGGGAAGCTTAGGAAGGCAGGAGGGCAGAAGCTGCATGCTGGGAGGGAGGGGCTGTGGAGGCTCCTCTGCTGCTGTGGGAGATTTGCCCAACACTTCCTGAAAGAAGGGAACCAGCTGCATGAGAATGTCTAGGAAGGCAGGCTTCCATCCAAGGAGAAATCCCCATCCTGCTGTGAGCCACAGTGTGGGGCCACCACTGACACCGGTCTTGGACTTGGTAGAGCTCACTAAGGTGTTTAAGGGTAGCTGTAAAGGGACCGTGTGAAGTGTGGCGGACTGCTCTCTTCAGTCGTGGGTGGAGTCAGTGGGCCGAATTCTCACCATCCTCCAGAAGAATGCTGGTGGGCGCCAGGAGGCCCCTCCTCCTGCCGCTGTGATAAAATATCCTGAGAAGCAGCTCAGGAGGAAAGGGGTTTATTTTAGATCACAGTTTTGGGCTGTGGTTCAGCACTGCGAGGGAATCGGCTGCATGGCCCTGAAACAGTTAGTCACGTCCACCGTCCAGAGCAGACAGAATGGGGAATGCAGACAAGCTTGCTAATCCTGCTGGCTTTCTCCACTTTATGCAGCCCATGCCCCTACCCATGAATGGCGTCACCTATGTCCAGGGTGGGTCTTCCCACTGCAGTTAACTCTACAGGAAGATCCCTCCCAGGCCTGTCCCTGGACACCCTGGTCTAGACTGTCCCTGCCGAGGTGGTCTTCCCCGGTGTTCTCGATTGTGTGGTTGACAGAACTAACCATTCCATCGCCTCTACCAACACTCCTTATCCACTTTTCCTCTGTCCTCCCCCTCGCTCCAGAGCTGTCGGCGTGGTGTGATCTACCCAGTGCAGAGAAGTGCTTTGTCACCCCCAGACAGTGCTGCTTTAGCTCTCCCAATAGCTATGAGAAGACAAGTCATGTTTTATTGTGAAAACACATAACAGATCTTTCCATTGGCTGTTTAAGTGCAGAATGGCTGCCCATCTGCACTCTGTGCTGCACACTTCTAGAACTTGCTCATTGTGCAAGCCGTTAACTTCATTAACTAGCATTAACTGCAGCCGTTAAAACAGTTGACCACCTTCCCCTCTCCGTGGCAGATGCTGTTGTGATTATTGGTGGATTTTTGTTCCTCTCAGAAGTGCAATTGCTGGATGGACCACATGATACTTGTTTTTTATCTCTTAAACTGTCTGATGTTTTTCTGAGATCTCCACACCATTTTCTACTTCTGCCCTCAGTGACTGGAGTGGCTCAGTAGAAAGAGGGTCTGCTGTGCAAACACAAGGACTCAAGTGTGGATCCCAGCACCCGCATGCAAAGCTAGGTGTGGCTGTGCACGGCGGGCGGAGACAGGAGGGCAGCTGGGGCTTTTCACCTCCAGCCTAGGTCCTGGTTAAGTGGAAGACCCAGTCTCAAAGGAGTAACGTGGAGAGTGATCGAGGAGTTGTCCTCTGGCTTCCGCAAAGGCACGGATGTGTGCATGCATTGCTCCCCAGCACCACATTGCAATGTCTCCACCGCTTGTTCGGATATTTAATGCTCACGCGTGTGGATGTAAGCTTGTTCTGTAGTTCTCATTTGCTTCCCTCATGCTTAGTGTGACTGGATGTCTCTGTGTATGTGGTAGCCATTTTTCTGTTTTCTTTGGAGAAATGTTTTTCAAGTCCTTTGCTTATTTTTTCAGTTGGACGATTTATGCATGTGCTGATTTTAAAATACATTTTGGATATTGTTCCTTTATCAGATTTATGGCTTGCAGATGTTTCCTTGCATTCCGTGGGTTGCCTTTTCATACTTTGGTTGTGCATTTGCCGTTTAGAGTGACTTAGGTCAAGTGGATGCAATTAGCCAAAACACACACATGAAGAAATATATAACCCAAGTAGATCTGTATCTGTTTTTCCTAAGAAATAGTTGCAAAATACTCAACACAATATTAGCAAATTGATTTCAACAATGTATTAAAAACAAATACTACCACCAAGTAAGATTCATCCAAGATATGCAAGACTGATTCAACTTTAGAAAGTAAAATAAATATTTCCAGGCTAAAGATGAAAAGTTAACATGATGGTGTGTTAAATTCAGGGAAAGTATTTGACAAAATCCAATAGCCATGCATGGTTTTTTAAAATTAAGTTAGATTAGAGTGAGCTTCTTTAACTTGATAAAGAATTATCTACAAGGAACTTAGAGCTAGCATACCGACAATGGGGAATGGAAGACTCTCCCATCAGGGTCAAGGTCCCCTCTCAGCAGTCAGTCTGACATTATAATGTAAGTCTTAGCCCAGTAGATAAGGGGAACAATCCACTAGATAGGGGGAGCAGTCCACTACACTGCAGGGACTAGTGGAATCTGAGATCAAAGCCTAGCACCACTGGCGTAGAGTAATGCCCCAGACAGGGTCTTACGTAAGCGCTGTGGGAAGAGCAGTCTAAGACAGGTAGAAGAACTGAGGTGAACGTGCATAAGTGCAGCGGTATTGCTCATTTATAAATAAACTCAGTACTGTCAGCGTGTCAATTCTTCACGACTTCTAGCACCAGGCAATTTCAGAATCCCAGCAGATTCTGTTGTGGGTAATAACAGACGAATCCTAGTGTTCCTAGAGAGGAAAGGCTGGGAGTGGCTGGTGCTGCCCTCAGGCTCACTATAAAGCTGTGGCACTCAGTGCAGTGTGGTGCTGGAGAAAGTAAGAGACAGCAGGGAGCCCGCATGGGGTCAGCTAGTGACGAAGGGGCAAAGGCAGCACTGTGGAGGCCGTCAAAAGCAAACGGTGCTGCAGGCTGGCTCTGTGCACCCCTTGTCCCAGTTCTCTGGAGGTGGAAGCCAGCTTGGTCTGCTCTTGTGTTCTAGGCCATCCAAGACTACATAGAAACCCTGTCTCAAAAATGAAAACACAGGCACCGCAGCAGTGGCCATGCGTGAGCAACCGGTACTGCCCCTTAACACACTCAGCCCAGAGTGGACCACAAACCTAAATGTGAACCTGCAAACTCCCAGAAAGAGAGTAAGGGAAAACACATGTGACTGGGATTTGACAGTGACTTGCTAACAGCGGGAACACAACCCATCGCAGTCTGTAAACTGGACTTCAAGAGTTAACAACTTCTTCTGCAAGATACTTTCAAGCATGAAAAGATAGTCCACAGAACGGGAGAAAATCTTTGCAGGAGATTTATTTGTTCCTCACTGACCCATGCTTAAGCAGGCGATCCTAATACGTAAGGTGGAAGAGAAGGAAAGTAGAAGTTGACAAGAAGGGGTATGCTAGGAAAGGGAGAGGAGTAGGAGGGAGTAATGAGGGGCTGTGATCAAATAACGTGTGTATGAAATTATAAGAGAATAAACAGTTTTTGAAAGATATATATGATAAAGGACTTCTACTCAGAATTTACAAAGAACTCTTGAAAACTCAATGATAAAACCACTGGATTTGGGGTGTGGCTCAGTGGTAAAGGGCTTTTCTAGGCTTTAGAAAACTGCTCAAGGCCCTAGTTTGTCAATTGACAACTCAGTCCAGTCATAGGCTGGAGACCTAAAAGCAGTTACCATGTCCTGCCTCAAGGTTCCCAGAGCCAGTCCACCAGGTTTCATCTCTTTCACTTTCTCCCTGGTCCTTTCCACTCCCCTTTCCTCTCACTTGTCTCTCCCTTCCCCTCTCTTATTTTATTAAGTACGAAAAAGCTATAGGTTTTACATTATTGTATTAGGTAATTAAACAATATGTGCCAAACTATATGTACTTATGTATCAAGTAAATGAAATGCATCTTTCAAAATCCTTTATAATACCTGTTTTTTTTTCTTAAAACAATTTACAGACAAAGAGTAGAGTCTGAAAGATGTTGTCAAGCCATCAACAAATTTTATTTTAAAATTAAAGGAGAACTCTTCAGAATGGTAAGTTCACTGGCATAATTATATTGCTTAAAATTACTTATTTGTTTATTTATTTTGAGACAGGATTTCTCTGTGTGACCCTGGCTGTCCTAGAACTCACTTGGTAGACCAGGCTGGTCTCACACTCAGAGATCCATCTGCCTCTGCCTCTTGAGTGAGTGCTGGAATAAAGGTGTGCACCACTATGCCTGACTGCTCCAAAATTTTTAAACTAAATTTTGGAAAGTACCCTGTGGTTGTAGAAAAGCTTGCATTTGCTGGCTCTTTGGCAATAAACACGTGAGAACTACCTTATTTCTTTTTGTGGATATGGAATTGCACATGTGCGTGTATGTGGAAGCCAGAGGCTCTGCCAAGTAACTTTCTCAATCGCTCTACAATGTATTTTTTGAGACAGGGCCTCACTGAACCTTAAAGTTGTTGATTTCACGAGACTGGCCAGTGAGCTCCGAGGAGCTCCCATCTCCACCAGCACTTGTTAAAGCCAATGTGCCAGTGCTGGAGATCTGAGCTGAGGTCCTTAAGCTTTCAGACCGTTTATCAACTGGTGTCTCCCAGCGGCTTCACATGTGGACTTGAAACATGTGGAGTTAATTTTGGCAAGTTCGACATGCTTGTGTTTTTGTTGTCATTGTAGCTTAAAGAAGACCAGGTGCTGAGAGCTGTGAAAAGGAAGAACACCCAGGTGAGGAGGACTCTTAGTCACGGGGCAGGGCGGGAGGGAGTGAACTGCGTTAGTTCAGAACCTGCGCAGTGTGTGTAAGGCTTTGTGCTTTGGGTCGGGTTTTTATTTGATTTTGTAATGTTAATGGAGACTGAGGAATGGGGATCTCTGTTAGTCTGCTGTCATAATCAGCTTATAAAGGAAAGGTTATTTGGGCTCAGGCAGTCCCTGACGACCTGGCTCTGCTACCTTTGGGGCCTGTCGTGAAATGCGACTGCTAAGCAAGCCAAACCAGAAGCAAGAGAAGGAGGGTCCGTGGTTCTGTGCCCCCATCCCCCACCCCCCAGTCTTCAAAGTTGCCCACTAAGCTGCACTCTGCCTCTTTCCCTGCTTTCAGTGCCTAGGACAGTGTAGGCAGAAGTGAGACTTCTGCTGTGTTAACCTAAGTAAATTATTGTATTGCTCAGATGATTTCCAACATGGGAAAGAAACGGCAGCGTTTAATTGAAGTCCAGGATGAACTGCTTCGGTAAGGTAATAGCCCACTCCTGCTGAGAACTCACCTAAAGGGCAGTAGTAGAGCTTGTCACTTAGGGGAGTGCTGTTTGCTGTCGTGACCCACGAAAAGCCCTTTGCACTTGGATGATCAGTGTCAGCAGTTTCTGATGCCCAGTGGCAGAGTGCAGAGTCTTAGCAAAGAAGAGTCAACACGGATCAGCATACCTGGTCTAGCCTCAGGCAGTCTGATCCCAGATTTAATGAGTAGACTCTAGGATTAGACTGCCTGCGACTTGAATCAGGCTCTTCCACGGACTGCAGACTTGGGTGGGCTACTGACTTTCCCAGTGCCTCAGGCGCCTCTTGTGCCTATGGGTCAAACTGTATTGTTCCTCAGAGGGTATTGTGAGTCAGTGAGCAAGCATAGGGAAGGGTCCTCTGCAGCCGCTCATACACATACTTCTGCTTAGGTTGTTTGCTTGCTTGTTTAGTTTTTGACAGATGGTCTTGCTGTGTAACCCAGGCTGGTCCCTGGCTCTACAATGCCCCTCGTGTCAGTCATGTTCTGAGGTCTAGGGTGGGGTAGTCCTGTGCACACGAGTCCGGAGCCTGCATGTACATCTTGTCCTTCTGAGGTGTGGGTGCTGTGCTGTGTGGGGCAGAGGCTGAAGTGAAATAGAACTGGCTGTGCTCTCTATTCTTAAGATTCTAAAAGAGCTTGGACAGCCTGAGGATGTGGTTCAGCAGAGAGCACCAGACTGGCGTGAGCAAAGCCCTGAGTTCAGTTCCCAGGACCACATGGTATGGTAGCAGGAAGTTTGAGCAGAAAAGAGATAAGTCAGCTGCAACGGTTTAGATATAACGCTGCGGGCCAGTTCTCTGAGGGTTAGCCAGGCCCCACCACCTGAGGCCTCTGTGGGTCCCAGGCAGGTGAGAGGGAGTGGGTGAGCTACCTGGGCAGGTTGGCGGGGGCAGCCTGTCCCACGAGGTCAAACGAGGAGCCAAGGAGGATGAGAAACAGAGGCAGATAGGCACGCCATGAAGTGTGAGTTTGGATATAGTTTATTCAGTAAAAGGGAAGAGGGGAGAAGAAGGAGAGGTGAGAAGGCTTCAGCCACCTCTGCCTAGGCAGAGGAGGGAGTGGGCGGGGCTTGTCTCTTAAAGGGACAGGACAGATCATTACATCAGCAAACTCTTGAAATACTATGTAATTAAGTACTAAGTTTTAAAGTGACTGACCCAGGATTTTGAGAGACAAATTAGTTGTCTATTCCATTTTATTTACAAATTTAGTCTATGGGAGGCACTAGAAAATGTGTTCATTGGCACTGGCCAAAACATGGGACATTGGGGACTTAGAGCAATAATGGTGGTAATAGTTGACAGCTTCTTTTATGACAGGGGCACTTTCCTAAAGGCTCCATTCATTTGGCCCATTCTTAGTCAGTATGACTCCATGAGATAAGTTATTGTATGGATCTATTATAAGGCTGTTTTGTTAAACGGTGGGAGGCCATTGAGATGTGTTGAGACCAGCCTTTTTAGTTCCTTCTCTAAGTGTGATTGTAGCAGGACAAACATTTTGAGAAAGCATAGTAAATAAAGTTTATTATGGTCTTAACTTTGCATATTAGACACTTAACAGGGGAGTCACTTTGCCTCAGCTGGTTCTGCCCTTTGGAAGGACAGGGAATACAATCCTACACCTCCGGCCACTGCGACCAGTTCAGTCTGGAGTCTGCTGAAGAAATAAATGTTGCAGTTGTCCAGTGTGAAGAGCACTTTTTCAAGTTGAAAATGATCTTTTGTTTTGTTTTTCTGATCACGGTCTCCCTCCCTCATCTCCCAGGTCCTCCCCACTTCTCTACCCATCCAGTACCATGCCATCTTTCTCTCTTTAGGAAAACACACAGGCAAATAAACACAGAGAGGGCAAAGAAGCACGAGAGTTACATCTGAGATCCGTTTTCATATTTTTGTTTGCAAGATGAAACTGGCGGCCTTCCTTCTTAGCCATAAATCACAAGTTAACTATTTTCTTCATAGGTGAAGAAACTCAGCCCTAGAGAGGCAGCTGTTGGCCGAAGGTCACACATCTTTCTAGCCAGGCCTTGTGACAGCTGATTTTGTTTGGCCTTGGGAGCTTGAGGCGATTTTAATAAGGGGAACTTTTTGCATGGCCTTCTTGCTAAACTGTCATGCCGGCCATTCCTGCCTGTTAGCCAGATTCCCGTGGAGTCCGTAGTTCCCAGACTCAAATGACCTGGTGAAGTTTAGCATTTGTAAGGCTTGTTAGCCATGGCTGTCCCTGTTACCTATAGCATAGTTGAGATGAACGGAACATAGAATATGATTATGAATTATACTCATACTCTGAGAGGTAAGCGCAGGTCACCTAGCCCACTCCTGGTTTTTCCTTCTTCCAGGATGCTCATGCACTGTAGACTGCTGGACTTTATTGCATGTCATTTATGTAGGAGAAAATGTTTTTGTTATTTCTGGTTTGTGGTGTAGGTGGGCCTTCTATGTGTTACTTTCATTGGTTAATAAAGAAACTACCTTGCTTTTTGATAGGGCAGAATTTAGATAGGTGGAGTAGACAAAACAGAATGCTGGGGGAAAGAAAGCAGAGGCAGGCAGATGCCATGAAGCTCAGGCCCGAGATGGACGTAGGTTAGAATCTTCCCAGTAAGCCACGACCTCATGGTGACATACAGATTATTAGAAATGGGTTAATTAAGATGTGAGAGTTAGCCAGTAAGAGTCTGGAGATAATGGGCCAGGCAGTGTTTAAATGAATACAGTTTCCGTGTAATTATTTCGGGTAAAGCTAGCCGGGTGGCGGGATACAGCCCGCTGCTCCTTTTTTACTGGTTTAGGTTTCTGTTCTTATAGTTTAATACTTTCAGTCCATGAACAATAAATATATTTCTATTAATTTGTGTTTTACATAATTTCTTTTTAAGATTTAAAAAAAATTTTTTTTTGTTGTCTAGATTAGAACCACAACTGAAACAACTACAGAAAAAATATGACGACCTCAAGGAGAGAAAGTCATCACTTAAGAATTCCATACATTTCTTATCTAACTTAAAACAGTTGTATGAAGACTATTCAGATGTTCAAAAGAAAGAACCAAAGGAAAAGGAGGAGGTGAGCCCCACTCAAGCTTACTGTGCGGCAGAAGCTGCTGCTGCAGGCATTCGCTTGTAGAGTGCCAGCGGCTCTGTCAGTGTAAGTTAGCGAGATCACAGCATCACCTCTTAGCTACTTAGGGAAGAGAAGCATCCATGCCGCCCATAAGTGCCCTTCAGAGAACTGTACTGGAGGGCCCTGTGTACTGTGCACAACTCTCAGCTGAACAGCTATACCCCGCTTTGTTAGTTTCCATCCATATTCAGCTCACCCAGATGTGGTAAAGACCAACCGCCTTTATTTGTCTAGCCCATGTTCATGGTTTCGTAGCTGTTTCACAGAAATGGTAGGAATGGCTTGAAACGCTGAGAAACAGTAAAGGAGTTGAGAAAATGTAACTTTTTTTTTTTTTTGAGAAGGTTCCATGAGGTGCTGAGAAGAAGGTATATTCTTTTCTGTTTGGATGAAATATTGGAATATTCTATAGATGTCTGTTAGGTCCATTTGAGTCATTAACATCTGTTAGTTCTCTTATTTCTCTGTTCATGTTTTGTCTGATTTACCTGTAAAGTGGTGAGAGGGGAGTGTTGAAGTCTCCCACTATTAGTGTGTGGGGCTTAATATATGATTTAAGCTTTAGAAGTGTTTCTTTTACATATGAGGGTGCCCTTGTATTTGGGGCATAGATGTTCAGTATTGAAATTTTCTCCTGATGGATTTTTCCTGTGACCAATATGAAATGGCCTTCTTTGTCTTTTTGACAGAATTTTAGCTAGAAGTTTATTTTGTTAGATATTAGGATAGCTATACCTGCTTGTTTCTTAGATCCATTTGATTGATATATTTTTTCCCAACTCTTTACTCTGAGATGATGTCTGTCTTTGAGGTTGAGATGTGTTTCTTGTATGCAGAAGAAGGATGGTTTGTTTTCGTATCTAATCTGTTAGCCTATGCCTTTTTATAGGTGAGTTGAGTCTATTTACATTAAGAAATATTAATGACCAGTGGTTGCTATCTCCTGTTAATTTAGTTTTCTTGGTTGGTGATGTTAATTTGTGTATTTTTTTCTTCTTTGGGATTTGTTGTAATGAGATCATCAATTGTCTATGTTTTTGTTGGTGTAGCCATCTTCCTTAGGTTGGCATTTTCCTTCTAGTATTTTGGTAAGGCTGGGTTTGTGGCTAGGTATTAGTGAAATATAGATTTGTCATGGAATATCATGTTTTGTCCTTCTATGGTGATTGACAGTTTTGCTGGGTATAGCAGTCTGGGCTGGCATCCATGGTCTCTTAATGTCTGCATAATGCTTGACCATGACCTTCTGACTTTCATTGTCTCCAATGAGAAATCAGGTGTAATTCTGATAGGTCTACCTTTTTTATGTTACTTGGCCTTTTCCTTTGCAGCTCTTAATATTCTTTCTTTACTCTGTATGTTTAGTGTTTTGATTATTATGTGGCGAGAGGACTTATTTTTGGATTCAGTCTATTTGGTGTTCTGTAAGCTTCTTGTATCTTCATAGGCATATTTTTCTTTAGGTAGGGAAAGTTTTCTTCTATGATTTTGTTAAATAGATTTTTTGTGCCTTTAAGTTGAACATCTTCTTCTTCTATACCTATTCTAAGATTTGGCCTTTTTATGGTGTCCCATATTTCATGGATATTTTGTGTTAAGCTTTTGTTAGATTTAATGTTTTCTTTAACTGATGAGTCTATTTCCTCTATTGTATCTTCAGTGCTTGAGATTCTCTCTTCCATTTCTTATATTCTGCTGTTCATGCCTGCATTTGTGGTTCCTGATCTTTTTCTCATGATTTCTGTTTCTATAATTCTTTTGGCTTGTGGTTTCTTTATTGTTTCTATTTCAGTCCTGGATAGCTTCTTTTATATGTTTGATTTCTTTTTCTTGGCTTTCTTTAAGTGATTTGCTGATATCTTCCAATTTTTTTGCTTGTTTTTTCCTCCATTTCTTTAAGGGAAGCTTCCTATTACTCTAACACACTTTGAAGTAGCTCCTGGGACTTCACCATTGCTGTGACACCCAGTTAAGATTAATAGAAATATTTGCTAAAAAATTGTAAGTTTATATACCTAATAGAACTAGAAAAATATGATTATACTAGTAGAATTGTATATAGAGTTACACTTATAGGATGGGGTATAGAATTGTACCAATAGAACTGTGTAAGGAATTACACTAAGAATTGTGTAAAGTGATACATAATTGCTCACAATGTCTCTGAGCATCTAATGATCAGGTTTGTATTTGTAACTTCTAAATTCAATTTTAAGATCTGGCATTGATCTAAGTATTCCTGAGCTGAAGATCTGTTCATATAGTAAAGCTACAAAAACATGTTCTTAAAATGTACTTAAACTTTATTTTAGGGATTTGATCACTAAATTTGTGAAAGTTAATAGTAGCTTTGACCTACTCTGTACATAGTTCTTGGTTAAGCCAGGATCACTCTTTCATGTGCTAGGCAAATGCTCCCAGATCTACCCCAAGGCTTGAAAACCAAGCTGTGGTAACTATAGAGCAGTCTGCTGTCACAGATGAGGCTGTGTAGGACCTTCAGTACCTGTTGTACCCTTACTGTCAGGCACCTATTCTTCCCCTGTGACATCTGGATATGTCACACCTCTTCCTAAATGAAACCCGCAGCTCCAAGTGTATTCTTCCCATTCCTTTGAGAGCGGGTGCTTGAGGCGTCTTGAGTGGAGACGATCCTACGTCTGTTCAGTTGAATTTTTCAATAACATGGTATGTGTGTGGCAGAAAACAAGTCCCATTGTTACAAAGGCTCATCACTGTCTGGCAGCTTTTTATGTCACTGAGAAAAATACCTTGGAAACATGTTAGTCAGCAAGCTGCCAAAAGTATGGTAAATTATTTAACAGGAATTTAATTTCTCTCAGATAGTTTGCAGGAAGTTTGGCTTTGTTCATTATTTCCAGGTCATGAGTTGGATTTCGAGTAGTGTTATTACTTTGTACTTACATTTGGATTGGCAACCTTTAAGGCTTAATTGATCCTCTAAGTAACTCTCCTAAATGAGACCTTTGAGATTATTTTGCTGTAGACGTTAACAGACCAGTTGTTCTCATTCCATTAGTTCTTGCAGTAAAAGGAAACTCGCTATAAACATTTCTGTTTCAAAATAAATGAGATCAAGTAGACCCCACATACCACTAACACACTTGCCTAGTCCAAGTCTGAGGCATGACTTGCCATATTTAGTCATGCAGATGCCACAGTTGTTTGAGTCAGCTTGTGTTGTCTGGGGTACTGAGATCTGCTCTGGCTTTGTCGGTTGGTTCTATTCAACATCACATTCTGAGGAGCTGGGATGAGCTAAAACATGGTTTCCTAATGATCCTAGTTAAACAAGTATTGCTCTTTCATCAACAGTATGACTCATCTAGCCTTCCAGCTCTGTTGTTTAAAGCCAGAACGGTTCTGGGAGCCAAGAAACACCTGAAAACCATCAACTATCAGCTGGAGAAGCTCCTAGAGCAGGAATGAGAAGCAGGAATGAGCTGAGTCGGCCTCCTGCTGCCATCTCTCCTGAAGCTCCGCTCTTGACACTCTTCAAACTTCCGATCTGAAAATAAGTGTGGCTTACTCATCAGAATTTATTATCATTTTGTCATTCAAACTAAATCACGCCAGTTCAACTGTAGCAGTTTCAGAAGCCATGTAGTTCTGACTGTTACTAATAAATTTCAGTCTTGACATGTTAGTCATCACTTGGCATTAGAGTTTGACCCTATAACAAACTTTTTAATGATGTCCGTGCAAGCATGGAATAATTTTGGTTAATTAGGAGCACTATTGAAGTATGTCAAAGTTAATCTTCAGTAAAACTGGCCCAGGTAAAAAGCAAATTATTAGAAAGCTAAGTGATAAAACGGTTGTTATAAACAGGTTTAATAATAAGTTAATGTAATTTGATTTTTTATGGTATTGGGGATTAGATGCAGGGCCTTGCACATGCTTGGTAAGTAGTCTACTCTTGGGCTATAGCCTCAGCCCTAATTTAACATTTATGTCATCAAATCTCAGGCTTCAGGCAAATTCTAGCCTCATTATGTAAATCCTGCCCACAGTTAGCTACTCTGTAATGCTTCCATGAGTTCGTCTGGAATATCGTCTATTGCATCCTTGTCACCAAGAAGACTCCTATCTGCAGCATCAGCGAATTCAGCATCTTCTGTGGCTTCTAGGAAGCAGGCATCGTCTCTGTCATCCCAGTCAGCGTCGGAAGACTCGCCTGGTGACAGGATACTGGATGATGGGATTTGAGAATTCTTGGCCAGTGAGTTGCTGAATTCATCTGCTTCATCCGAAGTGAGCTCCTCCTGTACTTTGGAGGAAAGAGAAGTAGGATAGAGGAATAACGATTAGGCGGGCAGCACCACGCCACTGCACAGCCAAATACTTGAGTTAAGGTATGAAGTGATAACTAGATTTTCAAAGTCAAGTGGCATGCTAGGTTCCTGTGTCAAGAACAGTCACCATGGGGCTGGAGAGATGGCTCAGTGGTTAAGAGCATTGGCTGCTCTTCCAGAGGTCCTGAGTTCAATTCCCAGCACCCATATGGCAGCTCACAACTGTCTAACTCCAGTTCCAAGGGATCTGACACCTTCACACCAATGCACATAAAATAAAGTTAAATAATTTTTCTTTTTTTAAATAAAAAGCAGTCACCATGGGGAAGGGTAAGTTAGCTCAAATGAGGTTGCTTTGGTAGTGTAGACATGCTCGAAACCCCAGGCTGAAACTGCCTGTAGTTCATGGCAGATACATCTCAATATCCCCAGAAGGGGTACAGCAAAGGTAGATGTAAACTCCTAAGAGGAAGATAGGCTAGCTGGAGACAAGCTGGGAAATACATTTCTTTTTTCCTTTTTTGTTTTTTTTTAAAGACAGGGTTTCTCTGTGTAGCCCTGGATGTCCTGGAACTAATTTTGTAGATCAAACTGGCATCAAACTCACAGAGATCCGCCTATTCTGCCTCTTGGGTGCCTTCAGTGTGCTACCAACGCCTGACAAAAATACATTTCGAAGTTAACAACAATCTCTCCCTAGAACCTATGTGAAAAAGCCAGGCATGTAATCCCAGTGCTGGATCCAAGCCTCCTGAGAAAGTATTACCAGTAAGAAGCAGTCTCAAAAAAAAAAAAAAGAAAGGGCTCCTGAGGAAAGATACCCAAATTTGTCCCTCTGGCCTGTATGTGTGTGTTCATGCACACACAGATGCATATATTAAAAAAAAAGATGAGGGAGAAGTGGTGGTGTTAACTGTTCACTGGAAAGACTATTTCTACACTGTTTGCAAATAATAAAAAGTGATGTTCAAATAACGGTATGGTGTATACAAAAATACTTTCATTTGGCATTTTTGGGGTATTATTAGAAACGAAAAAATTCCACTGAAACCAGTCACCAAAATAAATCAATGGTTGAAAATTAGCTCAGGGGAGAGCACTTGCTTCCCATGGGTGAGGCCCCAGGCCCAATTCCCAGCATTGCAAAAAAATGAAAGAAACCACTAAAAAACAACTAAGAATGATACATTGCTTTTTTTAAGAGATAATTTAAGATTTTTAATTCGTTCCTAGTCATTTCTAGCACTTTGAAACCTACCAGTCACCAGAGACTCTGCCTATCAGTTCTTTGTCCAGCTCATGGGATTTTCACTTTAAACTTGGTGCTGGGTCAGGAGACAGCTCAGTGGTTAAGAGGCTGCTCTTCCTAGGGATCCAGGTTCCGTCCCCAGCACACATGGTGGCTTATAACCATCTGTGACTAGATTTCCAGGGAACCCTCTGTTTCCTTCGGTACCAGGCACACATGGTAAATATGTGGCACATAGACATACATGCAACCAAAATACCCATATGCATAAAATAAAACTTAAGTGTTCTCATAACAGATGTTAAATACAAGTTTCAAAGGATGCCAGTTTTCTAGAGCAAATTTAAGCACTTGTTCAGTTTGTAGCAGGTCATTTATTCTAACCAGGGCAATGCTATGGGACAATAGTCTGTACCCTGTCACTTGTATTTTAAATAATTGCTGATTGGTCAGTAGCCAGGCAGGAAGTAGAGGTGGGGCAAAAAGAATTATGGGAAGAGAAAAGTTTCAGTCTGCAGTCATCACCTAGATACAGAACAAGCAAGATGTGACTGCCTTGCTGAAAAAGGTACCGAATAATGGGCTAATTTTAAGATGTAAGAATTAGTTAATAAGAAGAGCCTGAAATACTAGGCCAATCAGTTTATAATTCATGTAGACCTCTGTGTGTTTATTTGGGACTAAGTGGCTGTGGGGCCTGATGGGACAGAAACCTCAGTCAACAGGGCAATCTGAAAGAAGGTGCTGAGTCTTTTAAGGTGAAAGTAAAAATTAAAAAAATTAATTCTAAATAATACATGACCAAAAATATTAAATAAGATGTCACAGAAAAAGAAATTCATAAGAGAAACACAAATAATAACCTCAAAAGAGCACAACTTCATTAATAAATCCGAATGGAAAGTGACTTGCCACTCGTCTATAAGCTGGTGATGAGAAGGTGGCTATCGGCAGTGCTGGCAGACTTAGTAGCAGGTGCTTTCATCAGCTGTGCAACCTCAGGGTTCATGGAGCAATTTGGTAATAGCTTGTAATGAAATGTTCCTGATACTTGAGGGAAGAGACCTACCTCCATGTGTTACAACTTGGAAACAAAATGAGCACACACAAGTATAAACAATGGGAGATTTATGCTAAAACCTTTGAATCAGTTTGGCCAAATTAATGAAGCTTTTTACCTTTTTGCTCTTTTTGTTTTTGTTTTTTTTTTTTTAAAGAAATGTGTATGTATGTCACATGCAGGCAGGAGCTTGTGGAGGTCAGAAGAGGGGCACTGGATCCCATGGAGTTTCAGATGGTTGTGAGTCTCCATGAGGTGCTGGGATCTGAATCCAGTTCTACAGCAGCAGCAGTGCTCTTGATCATGAACCATCCAGCCTAACCCACTTCCGCTTTCTATGTATTTTCTAATATTTAACACTAAATGTGAATCGTTTGGATTAAATGTTGGTTTGGCCAGCTAGTCATATCCAAAAGCAAAACTGTGTATTCCCTTTGACATAGTTCTAAGACAGAAACCCAACCTACAAATAGTGTCCGGTCAAACAGACACTAAGACGCAAACACCTTGGTTTATTCTATAAAGCAAAATGTAAGAAACTTGTTATATGCCTGGGGCTAGATTGATTATACACTTCATTTCCTAGCCATCCCTGTCATGAGAGGCCCTAAGGTGGGAAGACGATTAACATATCCCAAAGTGAACACAAGTGCCTCACTGTGTTGGAAAGCTACCTGGACAGGATGCTGTTCCTAGCTCACTCATGCTATGGACCAAAAGGCCAGGAGCCGCACTCACCTCTTTCAGAAGGAACCGCAGACTTACTTCAGTGGGTAATGGAAAGCCTGAATCAGAAAGAATAATTTTAGGTGGATGTCTAATTCTCACTTTGTGGTAAATATAAAAATTAATAACTCACAGTTAGATTTGAAGTTTTGTGCTTTACATACAGGATCATGGCATTTTTGATACCAAACTTCATTTTTCAGATCAACCAGAATCCTTTATGTATAAAGAAAAGAAAGCATTAATACCCATACTGGATAGAAGATAAAAGTTCAAATATACACCATTTCCCAGAGATGTGCCTACAACTTAAAAGATGGAGAAAAATTAAAAAGCTAAAGGATGAAAATAAGCATGTGAAATCAAAAGAAAACCGGCTGCTAAGAAAACACGGGGCTGAGGAGAGATCCACGGGGAAGTGCTTATTCACGAGGCTCTGAACCTCAGAATCCACAGAACCCACAAGAAAACAAATCAGGAGGCTAAGAAGCCAGCTCAGTGGGATAAACACTTGTTGTCCAAGGGTGAAGACATGAGTCCAAATCTCAGGAACCCACATAGAAACTGGGGGCACATCTGTAGCCCCAGTGTGGAGATAGGGAACCTAGGAAGGGGAATGCAGGAAGATCCCAGGAGCTTGCCAGCCAGTCAGCCTAGCCAAAATGGTAAGCTCCAGGTTGAGGGACGGATACTATACAAATGGACTTCTGGGCAGGAAAAAAAAAGTGACAAACTTTTCTCTAGGAAGATCCAGAAATTTTCAAGTTATATCCACCAAAATAATACATCTTCAAAACACACAAGCAAGAGTGGACAGCATGCCAGGTTTGGTAGTGCACACCTTTAATCCCAGCACTCAGAGGAACAGGTGTGTGTGTGGGTGGGGGGCAGATCTCTGTGAGTTCAAGGCCAATCTGGTCTACAAAGCAAGTTCCAGGACAGCCAGGGCTGTTACACAGAGAACCCCGTTTCAAAAAAAAAAAAAAAAAAACAAAACCCACAAACAACAACAAAATAAAAACAAAACAAGAGATAGCACTGTAAGGATAACGAATCTACTCAGAGCTAAGTACAGACAGTGAGTGTGGAGTGTTTAGCCACAAACATGATGTCTATATCTCATTTTCTACCCAAGAGGGGGTGGGGACACCGTAAGAGCTGGGGTCAAGGAAGACTGCTAAGAACATTGTCTTCTGGACATGAAGGGTATTACACTTTTGAACTCACAGAAGTCGTGGTTGCCTGCACAAAATTCACACACGATCAAGCCGGTCAATATTCAATCATGGAGTGGGAAGAGGTTCACCAGTCCCCACACTTAGATGAGCGTGTGGACAGATGATAGCCTCTGGGGGAGGGAAAGGTCAGCTTTAAGGGTGCAGCTCTTGGTAGGTCAACTACACTCCAGCAGATGACCCCACACTCGGAAATATATGGGAAGGTAGTAAGGTGGGGGTCCATCTGGAAGGATTTGGGGAAGAAATTGGTATTAACATACATTGTAGAAGGATGGATGCAGATATGAATTCACAGACTGAGGCAGCCTGCACAGGGCCTGAATGGTTCTGCACCAGATGGAGTCCTAGACCTGAAAGAAGTGGACACATGCCCCGTCCCTAAGCCAGATGCTATCACCAGTTGATAACCACTTACAAATGAAAATTTAGTTTCCTCCAAGGGAGTTTCAAAGAGGAAACAAAATACTCTTAAGGGTAGGCTGTAAGCCCAGCAGTAGATAGCCAACAAGAAAAAAACTTTCATCTTTGAAGGTTCCTTGTCTTAAAATGCCATGTTAGGGCTTTTCCTCTCTTGTTTTCTTTAATTGTTATGTTTTATTTACATATTTCTCTTTCTTTTTATCTTATGTGGTAGTTTGAAAGAAAGTGGACCCCAAAGGGAGTGGCACTATTTAGGAGGTGTGGACTTGTAGGAAGAAGTGTGTCATTGTGGCTTTGAGGGCTCTTTTGCTCAAGCTTCCTCAGTGTGACTTTCAGTTGACTTCTTGTGGCCTGCAAAGTGTAGCACTCTTAGCTCCAACACCAAGTCTGTCTGCGTACTACCGTGCTCACTGTCATGATAATGGACTGAACCTCCAAAACTGTAAGTGATTCACCCCAATTAAATGTTTTAAGAGTTGCCATGGTCATGGTGTCTCGTCACAGCAATGGAATCCTAAATAAGACACCTTACATACATATTTTCCCATATATTATATGCATATACATATTTATTATATACGTATATATTATATATGCACATACACACACACACACACACACACACATATATATATTCCAGTTTAGTGTTTTAATGGGATTTCTGAGTGTGCAAACAAATGAGTCTCTGCATCTATATCTGTTTCTCCTGCCTTTTTTTGGTCTCTCTTCATTCTGTCAGTTTGTTTTGTTCTATTCCAATGTGTTTTTATCTTATTGTATTTTATTTTATTATCCCTTAGAAGCCTATATGTTTTTTAATGAAAGACAGAAAGGGGTCAGTCCAGAAGGGATGGGATGTGGGGAGAAACTAGAAGGAGTAGAGGGAGGGAAAACTATATTATGGGAGAAAACATCTATTTTAAATAAAAAGAAAAATACATTTATTTGTAAAAAGAAAAACATACATTGCATGACTTTGTCAAAGAATTTTAAAGAGATTCTTTTATAAGGATTTGATAAAACAATGCATTCTCTTAGCAATCTAGAGATAAAGCAACTACCAAAACTAGTCAGTAAAGATGCAGACAATATGAATAGAACAGTATTGATGCAGTCAGCAAACTTGATCTAATAGGCACATATGAAGTAGCTCTTTGTAATCAAGTGCAAATCACTAATAAAGACTGACTCTGTGCTAGCTATACTCTGAGCATCCTCAAATCTAAAGGTATTGGTGTAGGGCTGGAGACATGAGTCAGTACTAAAGGGGCTTACTGCTCAGGCAGAGGACCCGTATCAGTTGGTTCACAACTGCCTGTAACTCCATTTCCAGAGGACCTTGTGCCCTCTGGCACATGGTGCACCTGAACTCACACAGGACACATAAACAAAGATAAACAAATCTTGAAAAGATAAGGCAATACATTAGTTTTGGCTGGAGGGTTGGCTCCGCAGTTAGGAGCACTTGCAGCTCTTGTTGCCAACACCACATGATAGCTCACAACTGTCTGCAACTCCAGTTCCAGGGAAGCCCATGCCTTCCGGCCTCCACACGCACCAGCGAAATATGCCAAACTAAGCAAACTTCAAAATCAGGAAATCTCAACAGTCTTAACTAATAAAAATAATCCCTGAAATATTTTTTTGCATAGTGTGAAATCTCCCCACAGGGAACTGAACCTGGATCCTCTGTAAGCAGCAAGTGCTGGCTATATAGTTTTTACACCTTGTATTACAAAAGAAGAATGACCAATGACACCTTGGAAAATGAACAATAAAATACAAGAATTAGTAATTAGTAAAAAGAATTAGTAAAAAGTAAAACTTAAAAAAATTAGCAAGACCAAAATTAAAAGACTAATTAATTGCAGTAACCACTGAGCCACATCTCCAATCCTCAAACGTACAGTTTTGACGGCTTTTGTAAACAGATTTAATCTAGTATACCAGCTATAACATAGAATCAGGCTATTCAACATGTTCTTCAGCAAAACATTCATGAACCTTTCCTCATGTCTAGAACAAACAAATTATGGAAGCGTCTCAGCTTTGACACTGACAATACAAAACAGTAAACTCTCTCGTGACTGGTAACTTCCAGTTTACCCCTATTCTAGCCAAACCCTCACACAGTTTAAATGCTATTTCTGGTTTTACTTTGCATTTTACTTCTCTTTTTTGTCCAGGAAAGTTCCTGAAACAGGGCCTGGTATGCATAGTCAGCAGTCTTAATGGATACAGGTTCCTCCTGAGCTTTGTCTAGAACAAAGAAACCTCACCTTAACCTCAGGCTTCACGCTAACTGAAGAGTTTCCTACTCACCCACATCTGCCCAATTTACTTCTATCAGGTGTCAAGGACCAATGGTAGAGAAGAAGGGAAAGGCAATCTGTCCACCAGTACCGTCTGCAACTGTCTCCTGCCCCATTCAATTCTATCATCTATTTAAGCTGATACTGTAGGGTTGTTATCAAACAAAGCAAAATAGAGCTGGTATGTACTAGAATTAATCTAACAGCAAATAAATTGATATTATACAATATTGACCAAATATAGGATATAATTTTATATATTATAAAAATTATTTATATTATCAACATTATTTTAAAAATTATAAGTATTTTAAATATATGTTAAAGGCATATAAGTCATTAACAAACAGTATTACTTACATAATATTATTACTTTTGTGGGGTCTTCCAATGTTTTCACACCAACGATATTTACAGATATCATAAACCAGTAATTCTTCTGGGAAAAAGTAGTTCCAACGCCGAATTCCTGAAATGCAAAGGATGCTGCTCAAGGAGCCGTCCCTCTGTCATGTGAGCTAATAAAATGTAAGCACACTCTACCTCCTTTGATGGCATGTTTATTCACCAAAGAAATAACAAATTGGTCAACTTCAGGATACGGTGAGCACTGAAAGCCTGCGATGGATTCGGCTGCAATGGAGACAAGTATTTACCAATGAGAACAGTTAAATGCTGAACAAATAGTGATCAAATAATTAAGGATCCCCCCCACCCCGTTTTGCAACTTGCCTTACTGTCAGTTCCTGGTCTCTTGCTATGCTATAAGAAGGCAGATGGAAACTTCAACTGGGTCAGATGCTGGCTGGTTTATATAAAGGGCCTGTTTTCTTCTCTCAGACAAGGAGCAGGGTATACCCTTATACCCTCAGCCCAGAAGCGGCACAGGTCTACTGGCTAAGCCTTGGCGTTGCCCTGCCTCCTACTTCAGCCTTGATGTTTTGCTATTAAACAGAAATGGTGCCACAGGACTTCAGCAGGTAGACACTGAGGCCACTCTGAGGTTGTAAGGATTCACGACAAAGACAAAACTCCCTGCCATCTTGTCTGAGCAAGGAGAAAACATGAGCATCCAAACTACAAACATGGCCAAACACTATCACCGTGGCCATCACGAGCAACTCTTGTGTTTACCAATTACAGAGGTGTAAACCTCCCTCCAGACGGCCTCCTCCGGGAGAAGATTTAGCACGACAACTAGTGGAATGTATTCTCCAGTAAAAATGAGTCCACACTTGCTGTGTCCACCCTGGAGTCCCAAAAGCCAGGCCCCAAAATTTAAGTCCTTTCCAACACTTTACTGAGACGCCCCAAGAATTTCCAGCACCTCAGGGAACAGGGAATCACAAACTCAATTTGTGTTTCCTGGGTCTCTCACTGGAGGGCACTAACAACTTTATTTTGTACCTAAGAATCTACTGTCACAACTTAGAATGAATGATCCATTCACAAATTCACTTATGTTTAATGACAGGAAAATCTAGTTTTTTTAAAAAATGAAGTTGGAATTTCACTTAAATAGTTAAATAAATAACTGGAGACATTTTGAAAAATATTTAAGTGTAGAAATGAAAAAAAAAAACTCCCAAGCAATGTCTAGAAATATATCTTAAGCAATCAGAAGAAATAAACACAGGAAAACGTCTTATAATAAACACAGGAAAACAGGCTTATAATCATATAATTTGTGTGTGTATGTGTGTGTGTGTGTCTTATTGCTGTTATTGAAGCAACAGGAAGTACTGAACCCAGGGCAAGTGCTCTATCACCAAGCTATGTCCCCAATCTCGTAATTTTAGAACCTACTTTTTCTCTTCTCACTATCAACGGGTGTCTTCCACTATGTAGGCCTTACACATCTAAACTTTGTAGTTATGGACTATGTCATCCAATTCTGGTGTATATTAGATTGCCAGGAGTTTCTCACTATTATAATGATATACCAATATATGTGAATAAAAATATCAGAAATTTTACATAAGAAACTTGAGAAACTTCAAAAGACCCTATGGGGTCTTCAGTATAGGAATGGGCAAAATATGATAAAGTTATATGTGAAACACTTTTGCAGGCATGCAAGGTTAAACAGGAAACTACTATAGTAGTTGCCTATAATTTTTAAAAATAGATTACATTAATTTAGGTCTGTGTGTGCGCGCACACACACATATGCACACAGATGCACATGCGCCTGTGCAAGCATGCCACAGATTAAGTGTGGAGGTCAGAGCATATGCTGTGTTAGTCAGTTCTTGACTTTCACCATATGGCCCCTGGATTGAATTTGGGTTGGCAGGCTTGGTGAGCTGTCTCATCAAGCCACCTGTCTTTGAGTATGGACAAAGGGTGAAAGCAGCGCTGGAGAAATGGCTTAGTGGTTACTTGTGGCCTCCGTAGGCACCAGACATGCACATGGCGCACAGACAAATACGCAGGCAAATATCCATTACAAAAATACTTTTTAAAAAAATGGGTGAAAGGTTATGTAGTCATATTTTGATGTGCTTGTTTTATATAAAATGCATTATTTATATAGTCTTTAAATACCACAGAATGAAAATCAGGTATAGTAATTAATAAATACCTATACAATTTTTTATAGTATGTCTAACCTGGTTAGAAATCTAGAAGAATTAGTTTTTAAAGTGATCAGCGGATACGGGTACTTAAAATTTAAAATTTAAGATTTTTTAAAGTAAAATACGTTTAGGATCCCTAAACTTTAATGTAAAATTCTTTGTTTAAAGTTACCTGAAGCGCCGGTGCTGTTAAAACACTCAGCCCGCTTTCTTTTAGTCTGAGATGTGTCACATGTGAGAATTCGCAAAGAGTCTGAGAATCTAGAGAAATCATATAAAAGAAACAAAGTAACATTATGTTAGAATGAAAGTAACAGGACTAGAGAGAGGAAACAGTGCCAAGTGGCTTCACTGTTATGGCCCAAGGTGCCAGTCTTCATAATGATAAGACTATGCCAATTAAAAAACCAATTTCCTGGAGGTTGGAGAGATGACTCAGCGGTTAAGAGCACTAGTTCCTTATCCAGGGGACCAGGGTTCAGTTCCCAGCACCCATATGACAGCTCACACCTGTCTGTGACTCCAGTTTCAGGGCTTCTGATATGCTCACGCAGACATATATACATGTAAAACACCAATGAACATAAAATACAATATAAAAAACAAACAAACAAAAATCCAATTTCCTTTAAATAGTCATTGGAAGTTGTTTAGAATAATTTCTTCACAGAGTCATTCAAGTATTCCAGGGTAACTGAAATGATTAAAAGAACAGTTCCACTCCCAGACACACAGACCTTTGAGACTTCTGTTAGGTTTTAGAGCTATGAATACGGATGAGAAGAAGGAAAGAGTAACGAAAGCACAGGAGGCGCGACCAAAATTCACACCAACCCTGCAGACGCTGCCCCTCCAACGGTCCGGCCGCTCTGGGGACATGTTATGTGTATGTTCTAAGCTTAATTCAACAACCCCGGAAGGTCATTATTCCCATTTTAAAAGTCTTTGATCTTGGTAGCATACATTTTTAATTTCAGCACTTGGGAAGCAGAAGCAGGCAGATCTCTAAGTTCAAGGCCATCCTGGTCTACAGAGTAAGTTCCAGGGCAGCCAGGGCTTCAAGTCGTTGATCTTACTTTTGAGAAATATCAGAGGAACACAAACACAATAGAGATATATGGTCAGGGGGTGGGGAGTGTATCTCCCCACGACACATAACTTTTCCTAGAAAAACATTTTAATAATAGCCTTTAATATTTATTCCTTTTTGTTTGTTTTTTGAGGCAGGTTTTCTCTGTGCAGCCCTGGCTGTTCTGGAGTTTGCTTTGTAGACCAGGCTGGCCTTGAACTCAGAGATCCACTAGCCTCTGATCCTGAGTACTGGAATTATAGGCATGTGCTACCACATTCAGCTTAATAGACCTTCTTAAAATTAGTTTACATAAATTTTTTTTCCTTAAAAAGTTTTGGGGAGATACAAAGGCAGGTGGATTTCTGTGAATCTGAGGCCATCTTGGTTTATATAGTGAATTCCAAGCCTACTGGTTACACAGTGAGTCTCTGTCTTGAAAAAACAAACCTCAAAATAAAAAAAAAAAATTTTGAGGAGGGTAAAGGGCATAGTAAGTTAACATGATTTAGTCCAGTTGTTAACTACTTTTGTTTGTTTTAGGGTTTGCTGTGTTTGTTGGTTTGGGGGACCGGGGATGAAGGGGTAACACATGGTTCCATACAGTCCAGCTGGCCGTGAACTTACTATGTGACCAGTGATGATCCTGAGCTCCTCGTCCTTGCATGTCCACCCCCAAGTGCTAGAAATACAGATAGGTCTAGGAACTAACCACATCCTGAGCTGACAAAGGCGAATGAGTGACCAAAGCATAGAAACCTACTGAGCAACAACAGACCTGACAGTAAGCATGCCACACAGCACAAACGCTTACAGCATTAAACGTTTTATCTATAATTGTTGGCAAACTATTGACTTGGAAAATGTTTGTGATATGTTGTTGAATAGAAAAAAATCACGTGACATAACTATACGAACATTGGTCCCAATTAAAACACATTTTCTAGGGCTTGGTGCAGTGGATCAAATATAGGGCCTTGAGTACTCCAGGCAAGTACTAAGGCCAGAAACTGTTTTTGATCAGGGGGCTATGTAAGTTCTAAATGTACATATGTATATGTGGAAAGAAATTGAGACAGTAGTAATTACACTTTCAAACACAATGCAAATGTCATTATTTTCTACTTTATAGGTGATAACTTTAGAATAATTGGAATTTTAGAATGCATTAAATATAATCATAAAAAGATATAAAGAGGAAACTGAATTGTTAGAAACATTTCTTACTATTATTTTTCAGAAACAGAGAAAAGAGACTTTTAAAAACAAACTTTCTTTTTCTTAAGGTAGAATCAATTTATAGAATTCACATTTTAGCACTATACAATGCTATTTACATAAATACATGATGATTAACTCTGCTCTACAGACCTGACATTGCTCACCAGGGAAGACAGGAAATACTGGTTTTCCTCAGAAATATCTTTTGACTGTTCTGGGATAAATCTGTTATCTTCAGCAACCTCCAAAGCCACACATTTTCCTATCTTTGATGATTGATACAGTCGGAAGTTTCTGTTTCTTGTATAAACTCCTACATCAAAAATTAATTTTAAAAAATGAATGCATGCTTTCATGATTAGTTTTATGGTCAGCAAATATTCTTCTGCAGAATTGCCAGAAAAAACGATATTTCCCCATATACAAAATTAAGGCAGTATACAATACAAATTAAGATGAGCAGAAGTTAGGATGACAGAAGGCCCCATGCAGGTAGCTAACTTAATGATTCCGGAGCATCTCTTCAGAGGAGAGCAAACAGAAGAGTGGGACAAAGTGCCAGAAAGAAAATTTGCGACTGAGAGCTGCCAAAGAACTGTAGCGGAAAACCCCACAGAAAGGGAGGCATCAAGAAAAGAAACAAGAGTATCTACAACTAATCTGATGAAAGGTGTGTAAGATTTCTATCCAGAAAACTATCCAACATGGCAAAGAGTGATAGCCAGACTAAACAAGAGAATAGAGCAGAGCCCGAAATACGTGCAGACTCTGGGTTGATGGCAAACGGTACTGTCGAGCAGTGGGGAGTGAGAGCCATTTCCAGCAAACGGTGCTGAGATAACTGGATGTAGCAAAGTGAAAGATGAATCTTGACCTTTTCACTCAATAAGCGAACATCCATTCCAAGTGGATCACGGAACCTACGCAGAGCCCAAGCGGACATGGACTTGCCTTTCACAAAGCACGCAGCACAGTCGGCGGTGCCAATGCCACTTACCTAAGTCTACAAAAAGACACTTTTCTCCTATGCCATTCTTCACAACTAAAAAGGAAAGGTCAGGGCTGTGCCGCTTAGGCAACTCCGGTGTCTCCCAGGCTTCTGAAGTCTCTTGTTCCAATAGTACATCAGAAAAACGGGAAGCTTCGTGGCCCATTTCCTCTGGAATTTTATCTTCATCTTCCCGGGTAATTAAGTGAAGAGCAGGTTGCAGAATTTTTCTCACAAAATTACCTAAGAAGAAAAGGATTTAAGATTACAACCTAATCTTATTTTCTGTAGACTAGAACTTACTGCTTAGATGCGGATCTACAAACAACAACTTTATGCACTAAAGCTTTCCCCCAGTTATGTACTGCTAGAAACTGTACCTGGCAAAGTCTGGCGAGTTCAACCTCGTTTCTTCAGCTCCCACACCATGCCCCAAGAGCCCTCACTCTGAGAGTCCCAAGGCTGTTTCCAACCATACAGCTCCCTCAAACTGGTCACAAGATGAACTTGTAAGATAGCTTAGAGTGCTATCTGGAATTAATTCATATATTTCATACTTCAACATCTGCCCTAAGACTCTGCTCTACCTACACTGTGGAGAATTGGTGAGACAACTGAACTTCTTTAAATGCACATGTACTATTTATACCACAAAGCCAAGCATTAATCCAGCTATTATACTGCTTTGTATATAATACTGCACATAAGAAATAATGTAAGAAAACTTCTCTAGAACTGTATATTGGGCCTTATCACTTTAAATATTAAAAAGCTTCAATATTTACTTCATAACACACACATGCTTTACACTCAAAATCTTCTTTCTCTAAATAAGACTTTCCTATGTAAAGAAACAATTTCTTTTTGGTTTGCTTTTTTGAGGCAGGGTCTTGCTAAGCAACCCTGGACACCCTTGAACTTGGGATCATCTTTCCTCAGTCTCCTTTATTCTAGGACTGCAGGCCTGTATCACCATGACTGACACATGTTTAGCATCTTAAAGAAACTAGAACTGGATATGGAGGCACTGGCATACTATTGCCGCTCAAAGGAAACAGTCGGGAGCCATGTGAGGCGAGCTAGGGCTACAAAGTAAGACTTAGTCTCAAAACAAACAAAACAGGGGCTGGGGAGATGGCTCAGCAGTTGAGGGTGTTTCCTGCTCTTCCAGAGGCCCAGCATTCAATTCTCAGCACCCATGTCAGGAAGCTCACAACTGTTGCAACTCCAGCTTCTGGGGATCTGACACCTTCTTCCAGCCTCAAGGGCACCTGCACTCATGTGGCATAGATTCACAGATTCAAACACACACACACAAAAGCACAATGAATGCACACATGTAAACGCATGTAAGTGCGCGTGCACACACACACACTAAACATAAATAACTATAGAAAGCTGGGTGGTGGTGGTGCATGCCTTTAATCGCAGCACTTGGAAGGCAGAGGCAGGTGGATCTCTGTGGGTTAGAGGCCAGCCTAGTCTACAAGAGCTAATTACAGGACAGGCTCCAAAGCTACAGAGAAACCCTGTCTTAAAAAAAACAATAATAATAATAATTTATTAATAATAATTATTATTATAGAAGCATTAGACCATTAAACTGAAACAAAAGTATTTGATTCTTGCAGTAACACAAAGATGTGGTTATTTCTGGAGTGAAAAAGAGCAGGTGGCACTGGCTAACAAGATACAGTGTATCAAAGGACTCCGAAACAGTATACACATAAATCGATAGAGCTGACTCTCCTGGAAACTTCAATTCCATCTACCTGGCCCAGATAATAAGAACAGAGAGAACTGGACTGCAAAAATGGTTACATGGGCAGTGCTGAGGCAGCCAGGCCTTTGACCCTTGGCAGAAAGCTAGCATGGCAGGAGCATGACGGCAGTCAGCCAGCTTATTAGCACTCTGGCTCCCTGCCCAGACCCCACCGTGTCCTTTCTTCTCTGATCTGTGGCAGATGTGAGCAGTAGAGATAAAGTTCTGTAACCTCTTTCATTTGGCCCCAGTTCCTCTTTCTGCAAGGCTTGTAACAAGAACTTGAAGCGTCATAAAGAGGAACACCAAGAACGGGGAAACAAAGGGGAAAGGTGGTCTAGTCTGTAGTCCCTGAATCGCACTCCGGCTGTGGAGACAGCCTAGGATGACAGGATGAGAGCCTATTTGTCAACTCTTACTGTGGCTATGCACTATGATAGTAAAGGCTTTTTTCTGGTTTAGTTTTTTGAGACAAGTTTCTTTGTAGCTTTGGAGCCTGTCCTGGAACTCTCTCTGCTCACAGAGATCTGCCTGTCTCTGCCTCCGAGTGCAGGGATTAAAGGTGTGTGCCACCACTGCCCAGTACTAAAGGCTTTCTTACTCTTCTCTGTATGACGAAATTCTACCCCAAACTCAGATACAATGTGATCTGCTTTCAGAAGCTCTCTGCAGCAGAGGCTGCTGGTCACTAGCAACTCCCTCTTCTCCTCCTGCTAGACTCTCAGCATGCGGCCTTCCGTCAGCAGTCACAGAGCAAACTGAGAGGAGAAAGCAGGAGGCAAAGGAAGTTCCTCAGGGCTGTCTTCAGACTCTGCTTATCCTCTGTGCACACACTCAGCAAACAGTTATTAAATGGCCACTCCATATATTACTGCTGTTGATATTCTAAATATTATTGATACCAATACTAATACATGCTAACCTCTGAAAAAAGGACTCTGAAAATAGTAACCTCTGAAAACACAACAATAATCAACAGTTCCTGTCATTAAGAAACATTAAGTAGAACTCACAGAGAGCTCCCTGGGCAAAGTATTTGCAGCGTCAGCCTGAGACCCTGAGTTCAGATTCCCAGAAACTACAGAAAATATGAAAAAGGCCAAGCATGGCTATACCATCAGTAACTATGGTGCTGGGGAGTGGAAACGGGCAGATCCTTGCTGGCCAGCCAGCCTAGCTGAAATGGCAATCTTCAAGTTAAGAAGGGGTCCTATCATAGAACAATAATGGGGGAAAGTAACTGAGGAAGATATCCTCATGTCACCTCTGGCCTCCATGTGCCCACAAGGGTGAGTGCACCTGCACACACATGCGGACATGCTTACACCCACACCCACACGTGTGCTTGTGTACACTACACAGAATAGAGATAAGGAAACAGGAAATCACCCGAGGAAGTGGTAAGTGCTTTCACATAACACTGGACGCTGCCACCCAGAAGAGCACTGGCCTTTTAAATCCTGGAGCTGGAGTGACACACAGCTTCTCAGACGGACTGAGAAGTTCAAAATCTTGACAGATCGTCCAAACTGGACTTCAGACAGCCGTAACAAAGAGCGGAAAGGCCCAAGGACTAGAGAAGCACGCTGTGGTGGGAACTGAGTTACGGCTGGAGTGGGGAGATGAGCTGAGAGCACAGTGGACCTCACTGTGCGAGTGGGGCAAGAACGAGCCCTGAAGAGTTTGAGGTACATGTGCTATAATCACCTCACTCCAGCTAGCTGGCCAAATAATCCGGTGGAGATCTGCCGAGGCTGAAGCCTGCACCAGCACTGGATGGTGGTGACTGACACCGCTCACTGACAGACATCACAGGAGAAGGAGCAGGCGCGTAGGGAAAGAGAGGGAGCTTGGGAAGGACATGTTGAGTCGAAACGTCTGAGTGGAAATATTGGCGGGAAGTTGCTGCAGGAATCTGGTGTCTAGAACAATCTAGGTTAAATATAAAGACCCTAGTGGTCTATGCGGATGACAATGGAAGCCGTAGAGAGGGTGACCAGGGAAGGTGATGACAGAGTGAATAGGGTTCACGTATCATCTAGCCTGCAGTTCCTGACACCCGAGGGATGAGAGAAAGAGTCTGAGGCTGAGCCAACTAATGTGGCAAGGTAAGGAGCGAGCACTCCAGCTCGCTGTGACCCAGTCCTTCTCTAACTGGGGCTTCAGAGTCATACGCCAGGCCTTCAGAGACTATGTCACCCCTCTTTTCTAGGTGGCTGTGAGGTCACGAGACACTGGCAGCTCTGAAATGGGTTGCCTGTTACAAGGATGTTACCAACACTCTTTAAGCCTAAGGTTACCATGCTCTGATGAACACGAGGGCTCTGGCTCTCTTTGACCTTAGACTTAGGTGTTCACATTTGGCCTATCCGCATGTTCTCTGGACTGACTTCGCTTTACACCCTGGCCTTCATTTGACCTGGGGCTTACATTTTCAGGTGTGCACCCAGATGTCACTGCAGTTCTAAAGTTCTTCCAGGGACAATAAGCCCTTCATGATATGACCTAGGGTCCATGCCCCCAAACTAAGGCTAATTTAAGGCTGAAGCAGAGGTCAGAAATACAGATATTAGACATCACAGATAAGGCCTCTCCTGGCTTCTCAGAAAACTGAAAAGAAATACTATTGGAAAGAAACCAGTATCAGGACACGTATAGTTATCTCAGCGTGTATAGTAAGAGGCACTAATGCCACTGATATCCTGAGTAGGTTAAACTACCTGGAACAGAACAACAGACCAACAGCTGAGGTCAGTCATGAAAATTTGTTGGGCCAAAATCATCTCAGGGCTGTAACATGAGGGCCAGCTTGTTGGGGTATCTGTCCCGCCCAGTACCCCACAACCGGCAAGACCCAAAGAAAATCACACATAGAACTCCATAAGATTATAAACTGATTGACCCATTAGCTCAGTCTTCTTATTAACTAATTCTTACATCTTACAGTAACCCATAATTCTTGTCTGTGTTAGCCATGTAGTTCAATACCTTTTCCAGCTGTCAGCTCACATGTTACTTCTTCGTTGGTCTGGGCAGGAGTGGCGGAGGGAGCTTCCTGCTTTCCAGAATTCTCCCATTCTCATTGCATCACCTCTATTTCCTGCCTGGTTTTCCCGCCTATACTTCCTGCCTGGCCAATCAGCATTTATTTAAAATATAATTGACAGATTACAGACAATTCTCCTGCACCACAGGGCCTGTATCTTGAGGCCTGTAGGACAGAGAAAAGTCTGACTCGAGTTTCAGGGAACCGAGGGAGGATGAGACAGCAAAACCTAGGTAGACGCCCCTCCAGCCAGAGGGAGGGCTTAGCTGTTTCTCCTTGGCTAGAGGTGCCCCCACATCATACTATGTCACTTAACCTATATAAGCTGATGTTCACAGTAATAAACTGAGTTCCTGCTTTGACTTGACTCTGTATCACATCTGATTGTCCTGCATAGTGGGGCTGCAGATCTGTGCATCGTGGGGCAGAACGGCAGATAGCACACTCACCTTTCCCTAGGGAATAAGGAGGCTGAGGAGGCCTAGCAAAACTCACTTCATCTTTTTAGAATAGGTAAGCAACCAAAAAGGTTAGGAAAACCTAGAAAGTTTCAAGAGGAGAAAGAAACACAAGTTTTTAATATAACTAGGATCTTTTGAAAGGTACTCACCAACATGAATGTTATCTTTAAATGCCGCATCACGGAGCTGAAATATTAGATGTCGGCTAAATTTTTCTTCAGTGCTGGAATCCAAGTTGAAAACATCTTCAGCTGAGCAGTGAACATCGTATAACTCCTCAAGTGCTTTACAAACATGCTAAAAATATAAGCACATGTAAATAATGTACGGTTTTGATTTTAGATTTCTCTATCAATCTAAATACCTTGTTACAAATTAGATGATTTATTATTATAACGTTTTTTTATTATTATGTATTAGTGTTCTACCTGCATGTATGCCTGAGGGCCAGAGGAGGACACCAGATCTTATTACAGATGGTTGTGAGCCACCATGTTGCTGGCAATTGAACTCAGGACCTCTGGAAGAGCAGCCAGTGCTCTTAACCTCTGAGCCATCTCTCCAGCCCTCATCATAACTTTTATTTATTTTTATTAAAAATTTCCACCTCCTCCCACTTCCCTGCTCCCTCCCTCTCCCCCTCCCTCTCCAGTCCACAGAGCAGTCAGGGTTCCCTGCCCTGTGGGAAGTCCAAGGTCCTCCCCTCTCCATCCAGGTCTAGGAAGGTGAGCATTCAAACAGACTAGGCTCCTACAAAGTCAGTACATGCAGTAGAATCAGAACCCAGTGCCATTGTCCTTGGCTTCTCAGTCAGCCCTCATTGTCAGCCACATTCAGAGAGTCCGGTTTGATCACATGCTCCGTCAGTCCCAGTCCAGCTGGCCTTGATGAGCTCCCATTAGATCAGCCCCACCGTCTCAGTGGGTGGGCGCACCCCTCGCGGTCCTGACTTCCTTGCTCATGTTCTCCCTCCTTCTGCTCCTCATTTGGACCTTGGGAGCTCAGTCCAGTGCATTATAACAACCCTACCAATTTTCTTATAAGTTGAAATACATCACTTAAAATTATCATATGTTTATGTCAAAATTTTAAAGGTAAGGCTGGAGAGATGGTTCAGGGGTTAAGAGCATTGCCTGCTCTCCCAGAGGTCCTGGTTTCAATTCCAGCACTCACATGGCAGCTCACGACCATGTGTTCCTCCATTCGAGGAGTTCCAATATCCTCTTCTGTCTTCTAGGCACTGGCTGCATTTGATATACAAATATACGTGCTGGCAAAACATGCATAGACATAAAATTCTAAAAATCATTTTAAAATTTTTCTCTTAGGGCTGGAGAGGTATCTCAGTATTAAAAGCAGTCGCTACTGTTTCAGAGAACCCAGGCTTGATTCACAATACATACACGGTAGCTCACAACCATATGTAACCCCAGCTCCAGGGGCTCCTATTCCCTCATCCAGTCTCTATAAGTACCAGGATCACATATGGCGCACAGATAAACATTTAGGCAAAAGCACCCAAACACATTTTTTAAAAATTTCATATGCTCTCAGGACTGAAGAAGATTCTTAAAGGTCAAGCAATTTATATACTAATCTTCTCTAAAATCATGATTGCTCTGTACCTCCTAAAATATTAGCTGTCTGAGTTAGGATTTCGATTGATTTGAAAAAAATATCATGACCAAAACCAACATAGGGAAGAAAGGGCTTAAATCATCTTCCAGCTTGTAGTACATCATCCAGAATAGTCAGGGCAGGAACTGATGCAGAAGTCGTGGAGAGAGGCAGCTACCAGCTTATCCCTGTGGCTTGTTCAGTCCACTCTCTTACACCATCCAGGACCACCTCAGTGAGCTGGGCCCATCCACACCAATCATTAATACAAGAAAATGGCCCGCAGGACAATTTGGAGAGGGCATCGTTTCCGTTGAGGTTCCCTCTTCCCAAATGACTCTGGCTCATGTCAAGCTGACGAACACTTACCAGAATAGAAGCTAAAAGTTAGAGTCTCTGGTCTCCTTTTATAACTTATTAGAAAGTTTCCCATTTCTACCTCGAAGAATACAGCCTGAAATCATACAGCTTAGGAACCAACATTTGGATTTAGGAAGTGCTATTTGAGTTTTGGCCCAGCCACTTACTGTTCTTAGTGCTATGATCAATTCTAATCCCGACAATCCTTGGCTGTGATAGCACTAGTAAATATCACCGGACTTCTGGAGTTATTGTAAGGAATAATGAAAAACGAGATTAAGGAGTTAGCTAGTGCCCCACAGAGGTAACTGCTTAAACGTACTGCCTGTGGAGGGAGCGTCGAGACAAGCCCCTTCTCCCTGACCACCGTCAGTCTCCTCGGCTGCAAAACGATGTTAGCAGAAATGTTTGCAAAATTTGTCAGTCACTTAAATATCTAATAGTTACATAAGAAATTATACCCACTACCAGATTTATATTATTAGTTCACAATTACTTCATCTTATTTCCAGCATCTAAGCTTACTTCTCTTGAGGAAATCCTCTTTCTCAGCGCTCTCCCTCAGTCTCTTCGTCATTTTTTCCTAGATGTCTCCTTGAAGAACTTGCAGAGCTGCAGCTTCACGGCAGCTTACATCACTGTGATACCTGTCCCCTCTGTGGACCAGACAGGGAGCACACTCTGGCCTGCCCCATTCTAGACTGACTAGCATGTAGGCATAGCTGTGTGGGCCAACTTGGACAGTGTGAGTAAGAGGCAATAATTTGGGGGTAGGTGGGTAATAGCAACAAGCTTAGTTTTTAATACAACAGAATTACACTGGATAGTATATGAGCCATGGATAAGTTTCCATCTTTTTAAAGAGGCTTTTTTGTTTATTTTTCAAGAGAGGGTTTCTCTGTGTAGCCAAGGCTGTCCTAGAATTCCCTTTGTAGACCAGGCTGGCCTCAAACTCAGAGATCCGTCTGCCTCTGCCTGCTCAGTGTTGGGATTAAAGGTGTGCACCACCACCACTGGGTAAGCTATTTACAAGCTGGATCTTTTCTATGGCGGCTAACTTGATCCTAACTTACTATTCTTTGTTAGATTAAGCAGTGACCATGTCTCTCCGGCTCACCATTTCATTCCTACAGTCCACATACAGAACCTGACACTCGGGAGCTGCTGAGAAGCATCTGGTATTTGAATAAACTTCTGTGCTCTGAAGTTATAGAGAGGAAATTCAGTGGCTCTTCAGTTTTGGTATCAACCTTTCCTAAATCCTACTTCCCAAGTTGGACAGGAAACAGAATTATAGTTATTTATGAAACTACACTATACAAGGTTTCAGACACATGGAGGTTAAAGACACGTGATTACTTAAGCAATCACAGTACTGACAAAATGCATTAGCACCAGAAGTCATCCTAATTGACAGGAGTGGCTTAATTGAACCTTATCAGTTAAGTCATTGAGCCGAAAGGTGTCAACCAGTTGTTATTAAAGTTATTTATTAACTGTCTGTTAATTTAAAGATAAGAACTAATTGAATTTTATGGGTGTGGTAGTGCACACCTATAATCCCAGCACTTAATTGGGAGACTTCAGAAGCAGGAGGATAAGAGGTTCAGGGTTTTCTCTGGCTACATAGTGAGCTGGAGGCCCTTAAGACAGTATGTGACCTGGTTTTATCCATCAAAATGGCTGTGAGTAAAGGCACCTGGTGCTACCCGTTCAATTCCCAGGACCTACACGGTGGAAAGTGTAGCAACTCCTGCAAGTTGTCTTTTCACATCCCCATGCGAACTGCGGCACATGCATGAAAAACACAGCACACACGAACACTTAAATGTAGGCGCAAAAGAACAAATAGCTAACCTAATTTAAGCTTCATGAGACTCAAAACAAATCTACTAGATTATAAAGGTGTTATGTGCAAAGAAACTAAAATGAAATTAATTTCAATATAATTATTTACAGAGTTGTATTAAAACAATACTAATATGAACTGTTCTATCAAATAGTAAAGATGTTAAATAAAATTGTTATACAATTTTGAAGTTAGATTTCTACAATGACCGCCACATTTTCCTGACACAGATTAGTTCTTCAGTGGTTATATAGATCAGATGTAAAGAATTAAGAGGAAAAAATTAAACCCTTAGTGTTAAATTTTCATGTGTTTAGTTAAATCTGTTACACAAGAGTTTTATCCTCTGTTTATTTACATTAGGGATATTTCTACCTTCTAATGCATTGTAGCACTTTGTTTAATAGTAGCAACGAAAACCTCTGAATCTTAGTTCTTTGTAACTCATCTATGTAAGAAATCCTGTATTAGATTGTTGAAATAGATCACAAAACCAGAAAAAAAAGTTAATACCGATGAATTATGACAAACACAAAGTCAAAAACTAAGCCAGTGACTCATACCTGCGGTCGTCATTCCAGAGTCAAAGTCTGGAAGATAGCCTCACGTTTCAGGACAGTGCACACATGCACGCACACGCGCGCGCGCACACACACACACACACACGTACACGCAACCAACCACCACCAACAACAACCCATACAATTTACGAGCTATAATAAAACAACATATTTAGGTTGAGTCTTCAGTGGCTATTTTAAGAATAAAATGATTTGTTTGTTTTGGAGAAATTTACATGTTTATTTGCTTCAGAGTCAGGTATCTACAAATATTTATCATGTAAACTTAAAGTCAAATATGCAAAGATCTAATGAAATTAGCAGACCACCTTTAGCAAGAATATTTGAATTTAGATACATTTTCAAACTATAAAATTATTTTTCATATGGTTAACATTCAAAAGAAAAAATGTTAAAACCTACTCTGAGGCTACATGGTCAATGCAATTTTCATACAATTTAGGCAAAACAATCTTAAGTTTTTAAAAACAGACATCAATATATAAGTCCATATAATTTCTTTTTACTGACACAGCTAAATAAAAAAATTAAACATTAGCACTTCACTCTTTACTTAGATGAAAACAGACGCAACTATTTGTATTCTAGGTTTCCCCAGTTACTATCTGTAGCATCCAAATATGTTCTAGTCTCTTTGAGTCTTAACTATTTTTATTCATAAAGGTGCAGATACAATTTCCAAGATTCCCACCAGTTCACAACTTCTGATAACACTTTCAGTCAAAATTTCTCCAAATTTCATCTCAGTGTCCAATTTTAAATGACATTTGTTTTATCTGGCTTTTGCTACAATAAGTTTTTATACTTCCAGTGAAGTTAAACAATGTTCCCACTGTCATTTATTTCAGCTTTTAAAACTAGATATAGTAATTAAAAAATACAGGGCATTAATTCAATTTTCATTTGGTTTCATAGTTTACTCACAGAAATAATGTTGTTAAAAGAAATAGCAAGGAGAAGCAGGAGAAGCACGGAGTACGTGGGACACATGGAGGAGCCAGGGACTGTGGAAGCGGGAGAAGAACTTACCTCTATGAGCAATGCAACCATCCTTTTCCCATCAGCTCCTGGGTTGGCCAGCTTGTTAAATTCCAGATCAAAATAAAGCTTGCACACAGCATTCTCAGGAATCACTTCATAGCAATGCAAGAGAGTTTTCCTAAATTGAATAATCCAAAATTACTAGATTTGTATTACACTGTCTATTTTAAAATGTAGTATTACTGGGGGTGAGGTGTGGCAGTCAGCGGACAACCTGCAGACGTCATTTCTTTTTCCATCATGGGTTCCAAGGACTGAACTCAGGGGGTCAGACTCGCACAGTGAGTACCTTCACTAACTGAGTCACCTCACCCGCCCATACATCTTACACCTTTGGGAACATGGTCCTGTACTCAAGAACAGTGACCATTGTGCTTTAGGAATGTATAACAATGAATTAATAAACTGGTAAAGACAATGTGCTAACAATCAGTCTGTGGCTCAAAGTTCTAGAGTTTCTGACAAAATGATGCTAACAATTGCACTCAGAAAATTGTAACTGGCAAAGAAGGTCAGTCTTGCAGTGCTATTTATTCACAAACATCTTGATATGGTCTAACTTCTCCGTTTGCTGCTTTTGCTGAGATTTTGAAACAAATATTATTTAAGAAAAGAATGTGAGGGTGTCAGATGTGGGTGCTCTGAAAGAGTTGTCAGTGCTCTTAACCACTGAGTCATCTTTCCTACACCTTTTAAAATATTTTAGAAAAGGAAATTCTCTCTTGAGACACCTTCACCCACCTCTTTAACTGTGTAAATTGTCTTTTTCCTATTTCAGTCTCTCTCTACCCTCTGGTCCAATGCTTAAATCTTTATTAAAATCTTATCTCCATAAATGTTTTTATAATAATGGTTTTTAAAAAGTAAAAAAAAATCTGCATCTCTAGAAGTCAATAATTGTCCAATTTATGCAGACATGGGAGGAATGGTACTGAGTCAAAACACAAATGCGTGAAATTTAGGCAGTACTCTTACGGATAAAGGGTCTGTAGTAAGTTTAAACAGGAAAAGTAAGGGTGCAAGGGCTGGAGAGATAGTTTATTGCTCTTCCAAAGGACCTGAGTTCAGTTCCCAGCACCCATGTTAGGTACCTGACAACTATCTGTAACATCTGTTCCAGGGGATCTGACATCTTCTGCTTCCTCAGTACCTGCACCCCTGCACACATGTGGCATTCATAATACTCAGAAATAAAATAAATAACAGTTTTTAAAAAGAAAAATGAGGGGAGTACATCATCATGAGGCAGACAGTCCCTGTGGGCACCACCACATACACTGTGACAGCCCTACACTGACAGTGCAGACAGTCCCTGTGGGTACCACCACATACACTGTGACAGCCCTACACTGACAGTGCAGACAGTCCCTGTGGGCACCACCACATACACTGTGACAGCCCTACACTGACAGTGCAGACAGTCCCTGTGGGCACCACCACATACACTGTGACAGCCCTACACTGACAGTGCAGACAGTCCCTGTGGGTACCACCACATACACGGTGACAGCCCTACACTGACAGTGCAGACAGTCCCTGTGGGTCCCACCACATACACGGTGACAGTGCTACATTTACAGTCCAAGATGAGATTGTGTTTCAACAAAACACCATCTGTCACACTGCATTAAGAACCACTATGTACCAGGTGTGGTGGTGGACGCCTTAAGTCCCAATCACTCAGGATGCAGAAGCAGGTGGATCTCTGAGCTTGAGGACAGTTTGGTCTACATAGTAAATACCAGGAAAGTCAGGGCTATACAGAGAAATCCTACCCCAAAAAGAAAAAAAAATAAAAAACCAAAACCAAACCAAAGCAATGAAACAAACATCTTCATTCACCTTTGACTGGCATCCATGTATACAAGCATACCTAAATTTGTTTTATAACTGAAGCTACTTAAATAACTTAAATAACATCATAATAAAAGCATTTTAAGTCATTTACTCCCCTTTCCATAGATCACTCAAATCCGAGAAACAGATTAATATAACAGGTATATTAAATGAATATTATGTATGGTATATAGTATGGTAGAAGATGAAAAGCCATCTCCTAAAAGCTGTTTTCTAACCTCTACTTGCACGCCAATGGTACGTGTGTCCACAAGTGCATGAGTGCACACGCGGGCACATGCAAACACAACACACGCATGCGTGCACACATGCATGCATGTAAAATAAATAAATGAACTTTAAAAAACATTTAAAAGATTATGTGTGTAGGGCGCGGTGTTGTACACCTTTATTTCTAGCACTCAGGAGAGGGAAACAGGCTTTTCTCTGTAAGTTCAAAGGCAACCTGGTCTACATAGTGAGTTCTAGGCCAGGCTGAGCTACCTAGTGAAATCCTGTCTTGAAAAAGAAAAAAAGAAAAAAAAAAAGAAAATGAAGTATTAAAAAATGATGTCAAATATGGGACCTCCAAATGACACACATTGGAGTCGATGGCTACCAGAAAGATAAATGAGTCTATCATTAGCTTCTGTGAGTACTGGAACCATCTTTTTCAAAGGGAACTTCAGAACTCAGTTCTAAAGGTTAAAGAGCAATGAGCTGGGTAGACACAGCGTCAGTCATCTGGAAGGCAGGAGCCTCGGCTGAGAAAATGCCTCCATATCATTGGGCTAAGCAGACAAGCCTGTAGGGCGTTTTTGAGATTGACAGGGCAGGTCCAGCCATTGGTGGGCGGTGCCATCCCTGGGCTGGTGGTCCTGGGTTCTAAAAGAAACCAGGCTGAGCAAGCATAGGAAACAAGCTAGTAAACAGCAACCTTGCACTGCCTCGGCATCAGCTCCTGCCTCCACGTTTTTGCCCTGCTTCGGTTCCTGTCCTGACTTCCTTCAATAACGAACAGTGACGTAGACATGTAAGCCAAATAAACTCTTTTCTCTTCAACTTGTTTTTGGTCGTAGTGTTTCATCACAGCAATAGTAACCCTGAGACAAACACCAAATCATGTAGCCAAGAACTGAACACCAGTTTGGCATGAATTAATTTCAACAACAACAAAAAAATCCCAACTTTAGGTAATTATGTTGCTCTGCTACTTACCGGGACTTATAGTAAAACCAAAGTTGAGCATACGATGTTACAAGGTAGATGCGTTGTCCATCTCCTGCTTTGCACTCCAAAGCAAATACGTGAACATTCTACACAAAATTTAAAATAATTTTTGAAAAACTTACAACAAGCAAATCTAAGTTCAGCTGTAACTCATAAATGTTCATAAAGAATTTTGCCATTCAAGACAGCAAAATTTGGAACTTGAACAATTAACTTATTAAAAATGAGACAGTTACTACACCCATGTCATCTCAAATCTATATACATTATTTTTTTTCTTTTAAATCTATTTATTTTATTTCATGTGTGTGAGTGTTTGGTCTGCATGTATGTATGCATACCATATGTGTGCCTGGCCTGCAAGATGTCAGAAGGCAGCACTGGATTCCCTGGAACTGCAGGAGAAACAAGTGCTACTAACCACTGAGTCATCTCTCCAGCCCTTAAAAATTGTGTATATAAAATAATTCTTTATTTTTTGGCTGGAGCAACGGTTTAATGGTTAAAAGCACTCACTAGCTGCTCTTTCCAGAGGATTTAGGTTCAATTCCCAGCACCCACATGACAACTCAGAGCTGTCTCTGTACCTCAGTCCCAGGAGGTCTAACGCCCTCTTCTGTCCTCTTCAGGCACTACATGTATGTGGCACACAGACACACATTTAGGCAAGTACTCATACAATAAAATTTTTTATTTGTCTTTATGTGTATGTGTGAGTGCCTGCATGTATGGTATTTCTCTGTGTACCATACTCATGCAAGGCATGTTTGGAGGCCAGAAGAGGGCACTGGATTGCGTGTAACTCTTAACCACTGAGCCATCTCTTCAGTCCCCGTTTTAAACCAGTGACAAGATACGTGTGTAAGACACAGACATACTTTCCAGATTAAAAATAAAATTAAAAAAAAGGAGAAAGTCCATTCTTAATTCGCTTACTCTCATTCAACCTAAGACAGTTTCATCTCTCAGTTTATAAAATTAGAATCCTTTGACAAAATTACAAAACCCTCCATACTACCATAAACTATTTCAACTGAAATATATTAATAAATTCTCCTTTCCTACAGAAATGTGGACAGGATTAAATATTAGGTTAAGGTGACTCGCAGCTGCTGCCCCAGGAACTTCTGCTAACCCAGCACACAGGAGGCGCTGCATGAGGAGCTCCTGCTGATTCAGGCACGCACAGAAACTGTCTGCCCCTCCAGCTAGAAGAAGCTGGTGAGTCCATTTTCATAAATGAGAAACCATGCAAAGCCTCTGTTGCTTGACTCTTAAAGCTCTTTTGGGAGCTGGGGCTGTGTCTCATGGTGGAGCACTTGCCTAGCATATGTGAGGACCTGGGATCAAATCCCCAAATAGGAAAAATCTTCCTGAAATAAATTTTGCACTGGTGAGTGGCAAGTGTATCCCTATTTGGTTCTGGAAAGAGCAAGTTCAAATGTGTATAAATTTTAAATCCTGATGCCTGACTAGGTTTACACAGAATGAGTAAGAAGGTTTTTCCAATGTCTCCTATTTTGTGGAAATCTGCATAAGTATCTTTTTACTCACAAAACAAGTTATTTCTCTCCAATATGAAGAACTTTGTGTTTTCACACAGAATCAATGATCATAATCACAATATATATTTAAACTATCTAAACATTTTTATTATATTTATGTATATATGCGTGGGATGCCTGGGGTGGGGAGATGCACTTGCCAGGACGTGCATGTGGAGGCCAGAGGGCAATTTTAGGTGATCAATTCTCTCCTTCTACCGAGTGGGTCTCAGGAATCAAACTCAAGCCATCAGGGTTAGCAGCAGGTGCCTTTACCCATGGAGCATTAGGCCCAAGTTACAATTTATATATGCATCTTATCTTTTACTTGTCTTTATATTCCATAAGCACACAACAAGCAAACAGTAGGCAATATGATGTGTATTGCTTGGTTAATTTAATTTTGGGTTTGACCTCCATACTCCTTGTAAGCCTGGTGCACATTGAGCAGCTCCTCTCGCTTGCTGAATGTGCTGGGAATATGCTCACCCCCCCCCCCCAGTATTTTTCACGTCAATGCTGTCACACAGTCCACAGTTTTAAAAACAAGCTAATAAATGTCATTCTTTGGCCAAGAGATGGGTCAGTGGTTAAAAGCACTTGCTGCTTCTGCAGAGGACCCAGGTTCAGCTCTTAGCACCCAAATGGTGCCTCACAGCCATCTATACCTCCAGTTCCAGGGGATCTGACCCCTCTTCTAGATTCCATGGACACTGAATGATATGACATACATATATACAGATAAAGACACTTATACATATAAAATAAAACTAAAAAGAAATACCATTATTTTCATTACTAAAATATACACTAAGTGGTTAAGGAATTCAAAGGGATATTTTTACAAGTCATGTGCTATCAAGATTACTATTGTGTTTTCTTGGTAAAGTATCTGATTTGAAATGATAACAAATAATTTTTTTTAAACCTTGAATGTTACTTAAGATTTAAAATAAAATAAAGCAATCACCTCTTTACAGCTTTTAACAAAATTAAAAGCTTGATTCTGACGATGAAATAGCTTCCAAATGGAGGGTGGTTCTTCTGGCTTGGACAGTCTCGGTCTATACACAGACGACAACGGCTTCCTCTCATAGTGAGATGCTCGCTCTTCTATTTGCTTCCGCATTGATTCCCATTTCCTCATCGTTGGTTCAGAAGCAGGGAGAGAATAAATCCAACCTCAGAAAGCTTTCTGTCAATTAGTACTAAACAAACAAAAACGTTAATTCTTTGTTTAGCATTTATTCTGCCTGATATGACCCCAAATCTGGCTTCCTGACACTTGTGTGCTTATTTGTTTTACATTTTCTTTTTTGCACAAAGTCTCACTGTAGAACAGGAATAGAGCTGGTCACACAAATCCTCAGACCTTCCCTCTACTAGTCTTAGGACTATGGCGAAGTTAATGAAACTCCATGAGATCTTGGTTAATCAATTACAATTGGAATCAATTGACTCTCGAATGTTCTAGGCTGTACCTTGTGATAAGACTTATGAAAATGTTTGATGAATTATAAAGCCCTGTGTGAATGTTTTCAGTATCATTATGATTTCAACGCAGCCAACCTATTGCTCAGCTGATGCTTACTGTCTTGGACCCTCTTCCTGCGTGATCATTTCTTAGTGTACAGGTCACATCTAGGCATCATGGAAGGTCGGCTTTCTGTTCTTATCTTTCCTCCCAACACAACAGAGGGATGGCAATTCTGCTCTAAGCGTAGCTTCGTCTGTACATTATTATAAACTTTGTGTTTTGCTACTTCTTTCAGCCCAGGGGCCATCTAAGCTCAATGGCACTCTGACTCTGGGCTTGACCATGTGACCTGCTTGGGCCAAGGTCACACCGACAAATAAAAGATCAGGTGCCTCTGCACAGACTTGGCTCTCTTGGAGTCCTGCCCTGAGACTGCACGTCACAATCCAGCAAGGGGTAGAGGACCATCGTTTTTCCACTTAACTGCACATCAGAGGGTGAGGGCCACATGAGGAAGATTTCCAAAGACACCTCCTGAGAAGCCAAAGTCAATCAGACACGTAAGTTAGGACATTTCAGATTACACAACTTTCAAACCGAATGAATTCAATACAGAATGTAGAACTGCCCAGCGTCAACCAGAGACCCACTTAAAAAAATAAATCTGTAAAAAAAAAAAATCAGTAAGTTTCAAGCTGGTTTTTACACAAAATTAGATAAATTGGGGTTCTTTATCAATATCATCTATACTATTATTTACTCATACGAAAATGGATATATTAGCTTTTAAGTGAGACAGAAAAACATACTAAAGCATTTAGGGGCAAATTATTATTTACCTATGGCAATGCCCTTGTCTTCAATTTTAGCAGAAATCTTTGCAGTGACACAATCTCATTAGCAAATGGCATATTCCCTGAAAAGAAACACAAAAGAGCCCTAAAAAAATTGAGAAGAAAGATTCCTCTATATTCAGTTTACTTTAATTTGACTCATATATAGATAAAAATCTGCTACATTTCAAAAAACCTAATTGATTTTATTCTGTACAACTTATTACATTGTTGCCCCCAAACAACAAATAGAACGCAATCATACCTGAACCATAGAGTCAAAAAATAACTAAGAATGGCCATATACGTGTTCACAATTTAGTGATACTAAAATCTTGCATACACACACACACACACACACACACATCTGATATGACTGTGGGAAGATGATATCCATGAAAATCCTAGAGTCACCATGTAAAACCCGTTGAAGATATACTGCGGAGGAAACAACAGAGGGAAAGCAATGCTTAGCATCTCCTATGGCCCTGAACTGTTCTCACGGCTAGAAACGTGTGACAGCTGGAGCTGTCCGAGGACAACTGGAGCCCGACCCAGGAGCAGGAGGGCTGAGCGACAAAAGCAAGGAAAGGGAGACCAGGCAGCATCTGGCCTTCTGGCTGGGGACAACTGTAGCCCCCATCCCTACTCTCTGGGGGAATATGACACCAGATCAGACATACTTTCAATTCCTGGTGTGGAAAGAGTCCTATTGTTCTTTTAAATAATTTTAGGCCAAAGCTCCTTTCCACTCAGAGCCTATTTTCGGTAATGGACTGCAAGTCCCACGGGAAAACACTTGCATGCGTTTAAACCACAGGCTTCTAGAGCTCTGTTGTTCTTTTCGGCACAACACAGTATTTAACCACGTCTGCTGCAATCCTACAGCTGCAGGAGTTGGCGTCAGAAAACAGGATTAGTCATCTTACAGTCATTAGTGGGAGCCGGGAAAGCGAAATAGAAGCGGAAAGCTGACCGAGTTGCCTGGGTTTACTAGACTTGTCCGTCAAAGACTATGGATGGTCTGGCTCCCGAGAGCAACTTGACTGGGTGGGGGTTGGGGGTGGGGAGGATATGACGTCACATAGGTGCTTTATAGCCACCATTCATTCACACTGTAATCACTAATACTGTCAACTGGACTGGATTTCAATACACCCACTTTTGTAAAGAACACTTTTGGGGCGTCTGTGAAGTCACCGTCAAAGGCAGTGGGATCACGCGCACTCTAACTTACTGACCATGAACCCCTGGATGGGTTCCGGCTACCATGGTACTGCTGGGAGGTGGTGAAAAGTAGGAAGTGGGGCCTAGCTGAGGAAATACTGCTGTCTGGTTGTCACGATGCAAGCTGCTGTGCTACCATGCCGTCGCAGCCAAGATGGACCAACAACTTTAATGCACAAATGAACGCTTCCTCCATTGAGTTACTCTGCCAGGCGTCTGTCACAGCAATGAGAAGTCTGACCCACACAGGTGTCACAGGCATATGTGGAGCTTCCTGCAGACACGCTCTTGGTTTCTTCCTTCCTTTCCTTTTCCTGAGATGGACTGTTCCCATGGTTGCTCAAGCTGGCCTCAAACTGAAGATCCTCCTGCTTCAGCCTCCCAAGTGCTGGCATTACAGGCATGGGCCACTGTCCACGCGCCAGGTTCTTCACAACTTGACACCAATCAAATCCCATTCCAACTCCAACCTCTCCCTCTACCCTGAGATTAGATCCTCTGGTATTGTGTTTACTGGAGATACTCTAGTTCCAGTATTTACGGTGTTCTTTTATTTAAAAATACTGAACAATATTTTGTGGTATGTACATACTCGTGTGTTTGTATACACATGTGGTCCATGTGTGGGCATGAATGTGAAGGCCAAAAAAAATAATAATAGGTACCTTCCTTCGTTACTCTCCATCTTATTTCTTAAGACAGGGTCTTTAACTAAGCCTGGAGCTCATCGATAGACTTAGACTGAACAGCCAGTAAGCTCCGGGGATCCCTCTGTCTCTAACTCCCCACAATACCCAGCATTTTCCATGGGGGCTGGGATCTGAGTTCAGGCTTTCATGTTTGGACAGCCAGCACTTCACTTACTAAGCCATCCCTCCAGTTCCTCAACATTTTCTTCTTACCTCATCCATGTAAATTTACATATGTGTATTTGTGTGAAGGTATACCACATGCACCGTGTGTGTGCGTTCTTGGAGGCCAGAGGAGGGTGTTGGATCCCCTGGAGCTATAGTTTAGTCCCCTTGGAACTAAACTTGGATCCTCTGGAAGAGCAGCAAGGGCTCTCACTACTCAGGCACACTCCTCTACCTCGCCCTTTCCGGACTCTACAGTGCCTCTCTACAGTAGATCCTGCTCCGTAAGCATTCACGCTCAAATGGTCATCCTTAAAGCATGCTATTAAAATTCGCTTACAAACATATTACTATGTAAGCTTACTTTCTAGAATGTATAACAAGCTAAGAAATTAAACATAAACGACTGAATTTCCTCTCTCCTCACTTGTTATTCTGCCTACGAACAGAAGCCATATTTCAATGTCTGTGGACAGAGGCTGCTAGTTTGTTTCCCGACCGCCCTGACTAGAAATCATCACACAGAAACTATATTATTTGCAATACTGCTTGGTCAATAGCTTAAGCCTATTTTTAGCTAACTCTTACATCCGGAACTAACCCATCTCCATTAATCTGTGTATTGCCACATGGTTGTGGCTTACCGGGTAAAGTTCCGGTGCTTCTGTCTCATGTTGCAAATCCTACTGGCGTTTGCCACCATTTCAAAATCGCGTGGTTTTTTTTTTTTAATTAAATAACTGGGAAGGACTTCCCATACCAAATGTCCATAAGACCTACTAGAAGGGATGAGAATGCCTGCAACACCGTTCCAGCTCTTGTTTTCTTTCATCCGCACTGATCTCCCGCCCAAACAGTACAACTCTACCAGACTAATGACCCTCACGCCACGTTTACAGCTTCTCACAGGAACACTTGTTACTGATCCACAGTATCATTTAATTAATATGTAGTCTATCTTATGAAGTCTAAAGATTCCCTGCAGAATCTGGCCCTAAAACGATTATCTACTATATTCTATAGATAGATAGATAGATAGATAGATAGAATATATAGAGATATATAAATATCTACTATACTTCCAGTTCCGTTTTCTCGCCAAATGGAAGGCAATGACCACTCCCAGCCCCTCGACTACTTGGGAAGCCCTCATACATACTCCAGCTGCTGCCACCTGGAAAACACTCCTTTACTTTTCCTGAATTCTTCCTCTCTGAGGAGGCCCAGAACACTCTGGGCTCCCTCTGGGTCACCGATGTGAAGAGAAATTACGGAGCTCAGACAAAGACATCACCTACATGTGTTTTGCCTTACCAGACGCCCTTAGATCAAGTCAATATAACTTGTCAGAAAACTCCTGCCAAGCTGTATCTAAAAGTATCATTTTTGTTAAGAACCTTTAGCACAGGGAGGGGTGAGGACCCCACAAGATCAGGGTTTCTCAATCAGTTCCTTTCTTGAGAAGCACAGCCTCCACGAAGCATCAAAGCATCATTAGCGCGTTAAATGCGTCCTGCTGCTTAGTTTATCCCACTGAGAAAGGGCTGGTCCTCACTCACTTGGGGAGGGATAATGATAGATCACCTTGTTTCTGGAATCAGCATTTAACTACTGTGGCTCTGCTCTTCGCCAGAGCAAACCACTTAGCCTTTTTAATAAGCCTCTGTTGGAAATGGATAAAATAAAAAATATATTTTGGAAAGGCAGGAGCATGGATTGTGTACCCAACAAACGGTAGACACCCGTGTACCCACGTATACCACATTCCCTTACATCCAACCAGGGAAGAGTGAGTGGAAGCAAGCTGCTGCTCTCGTGGGATAAACTTGTCGTCTCCAGAGTACCCAGAGCCCCTGAGATGTGACGCCGAGTGCTGTGCTCCTCTTCTGACTTATTATGCAAAAAACGCTTCACTGCGTCAGGGTCTAAAACAGTGCGGGGTTCAGTAAGGTCGTTGGGACTTCGGACAGAGGGACCGAGAGATGAACGGAAGTGAAGGAAGGCCTCAGTTTGAGAGGAAAGAGAGATTACGGGTGAGGGGCGATTGCAACCCTATTTTCCACTTGCCAGAGCTCTGACTGATAGCATGGTCGCCCAGAACGCCCATCTTTGCGCAACTGGAATCAGGCGCGGCCTAAGGACGCCTCTAAATTTACCTGAGGTGTTGCACAGCGGCCGGAGGAAGCTGCAGATGGCGGGAACGGAGCTTCAAACCCCCGCGCGGGGGCGGGGCCGGTGGGGCGGGGCCCTGGAGGGCGGGGCCTGCGAGAGACGGGTCTGCGGCGGCCGAGCACCAGGGGGCGGAGCACGAGCCGGGGGAGGGAGGGGGGACTGGGAAGACTAGTTGCCACGGTCGAGGACGAGGTGGGGGCTTGCGGGGGAGGGGCGTGGGCGTGGAGTGGGCGGAGCCAGGGCACGGGTTTAAGCTGCGGTTGCAGCGCTGGAGCTGGCGAGATCAAAGCGCAGTGTCCTGCGTCGTGGAGCTTGGAGAGGTTCGGTGAGTGTTGGCTGCTTTCGCCCCTTCCCGGGGCTGCCCGGCTGCCTGGAGCTGGCGTCCTCAGCCTGCTTCGAGGCTGCAGCTGCTTCGAGGAGGTGGTGGGGCGGGGGAGAACGGGCGATCTGGGCGGAGGATCCTTTGTTGCATTCTGGCTTGCTCAGGCATGCACTGGAAAGCAGGGAAGCTGGAAACCCTGCCGGGGGCCCAATCCCGAGCTGGAACCCAGACCCGGGAGGCCGAGTGAGCCCGGGCGAACCGAGTCCCTGAGGCCGGATGAACCGAGGCCGGACACTGACCCCCGAGCCTGGCGCACGGGCCGCGCCGGGGAGCAAAAGGCGGAGCCCGGGGGTCGGGTGGTGAGAGATCTCCCGGAGCACCGACGTTCAGGGGCGAGAGCCGGGCTGGAAGGGGATGAGCCCGTAGGCGAGTGAGCGTTGAGGCCCAGAAGCGGGAGGTGGCGGGATCCTGGAGCCCCAGGCCGAGGCGTGGACCAGAGATTAGAATGGACAAGGAAAGTTCTACCCCGGGGCCTGGAATCCAGTCTGAAGCTGACCTTGAGACTAGATCTCTTAGACTCTCCGAACGGGTGTTCGGTCTCTATCTCATCACTGTGTGATTTTTGGTTCTTGAAGAGAGCTGATTTTAAGCATTGCTCCCCAACTTTGCTTCTCATCCCGAAGCCTTTCGTGACTGCTTCAGCTCATTCCTTTGTTGGTCAGTCGCCGTAGGAGCTGCGTTCACATCCCTTGGACCGTGCTCAGTTATTGTCCCTTCCTCACGTTTATTGTTTGTTGATCTACCCTGAAGCCCGGCTTGAGCAGCTGGGTGTTTGCCCCATTCTCAGTTGAGTCAGCCCGGAAACGTCCTTCTCTGGCGCGGTTCAGGGACCCCACTCCTTCCGCCGCTAGTTACCGAGGCTTGCTGACTGTGTCCTCCTGGTTTGTACCTGGCCCTTCTGCTGTTTGTCTTTTCCCGATACATTTGCTTATGAATAGGAACTCCTGCTTAGGTTTCGGTTCTTAGCAAACAATTCAAGGTTAAATCTTCCCCTTTTCTTCCTTTGCATCAGGCATTTCCTGAGAGCAGACGGTCGCATCCCCTGCTTTACTTGTTTACTGTTTCCCCACAAAACTAAGCCACTCGGGACTGACTGTAGCGTGGTGCCCTCCTTACTTTTTTCTTGCTCGTCCGTTTGTTTGATTACACAAATGATTAATTAAAATGTGCATCAAGAGAGATTGGTAGGTGTGAAATGTGAAGTCATTGGTACACTATGAGTGTGTAAAACGGCAGAGGGAGATGCTAAACTGGGGGTTTGACTAGCCACTGGAAAGCCACTTTGAGTGTGTTAACGGTGGCCGTGGCATGAGCCATAAGTATGAAATGTCGAGCTTGAACCATCCCTGTTACAACCTAGTGTTCAAACTTTGGCTCTGATTTGCTGTCCAGCAGAAGAAGGCTTTTGGAAAGCAAGAATGTGTTTTATTGAGTGAACAGTTTATTGAAATGTAGCAATGCACCTACCTGGTACAGAGTAACCAAAGTGGAATACGACACCTAATTAGATCAGATTGCTTTTGTCCTCCTGAAGAAGGGTCTTGCCTCCAGCCTTTTTAGGAGCCCAGTGTCTATCTGATCTAAGCAATTACTGTGCCTGCCTTTCTACTGTTTCCCTTTCAACCCTAACAACACCGCCCTTTCTAAAGTTACAGCACAGTCCTTACTTTCTTCAAAGACCTTGCATTCGTTACGGTCTTAGTGTTAGATAATACTTCAAGTTCTGCCCCAGTGATGGGACTTTTAAAAAAAAGGATGTGGGAATTCTTAACCCTTAAGCACTGTTATATATTCATTTAGTAAACTTAAAATAACTTATTAGAGAGGAAAGAAGAACTTTTCTCCCTGTTGTCTGACCATGTGAAGCCCAGTCTCAAAGTGCTCACCAGTTCATTCATAAATCAGGCATAATCCGTGTAATCCATAGGGTTGTTTTAAAGAGCAGATGAAATATATTTGTAACAATGTTTTGTTTGGTGTGGGACCCTACATAATAGTTTTTGATTTGGCCTTTTTGTTCTTATCTTCACCGTAGAGTGTCTTCATTCTGCTAAAAGTACAGTAAAATTATCTACGCGAGGACTGTACATGGGCTAGTACCTACGCGGCTGCTACTTTTAAACACCAATGAACGTAGATATAAGCTCTGTATAGTGGATAGGGTCCACCTCTTCCACTGCTTCTTACACTCAAGGTCCAGTGCAGCCTCTGCGTATGTTGATATTCAGTAAATTATATAGTTATCTGTAGTTTTATAAAAGACATTCAGGATCTTCCATTCTATGCTGTATTTCAGCCACGAGATTGTTTTGGAACAGGCCATCAATTCTTACACATCCCCAAGAGCATCTAGGGCCTTACAGGTCTGCAAAGACTTTACGGTTTTCTTCTTTTGTCCCTCCAAAAACTGTGATCCGAGGGTTTCACTTGGGAGTGGACGTGGACGAGGCAGGCCCTTAGCAGATAGGAAGTGCCACATTTCTTGCCAACTTGTGGCACAAAATCAGATAAGTCAGTGTACCGGTCTGCCTCCCTGGTTGTGTGGCCCATACCAGAAACAAGAAAACCGGCCCATTTATGAGTCCCTATGATGCAACTGAACTGTCCTCCGTATTTTCTCTGCCTTTCCAGCCTGGGTCTTTTCACTTCCATTTTATTCTAGACATTAAAAGGTTGGCTTCGGCAGAGTCGATTGCAGCAGCCAGTTCAGTGCATCCCCAAAGGGACTGAGACCAGGAAGGACAGGTTTGGAAAGAAAAGAACAAAAGAACCACTGGTACACTACCGACGAAATCTTTTCTTTACCAGACTGTTGTGAAATGGGTCCTCTTTCTGTTTCATTTGCTTAATATGGAACTCCCAGTGCTGGGAGCTTCGTCCTCATTGAGAGGTAGTCAGTACGATCCTGGTGTTTCTCAAATTGTCCCAGAAGCCACACTACAGTGACTTCACATTCCTATTGACAGGAAGCTAGGTAGGCATATAGAAAACATTTTAATGATGTTCACTAGATGTTTAAATAGATACTTTACATTTATAAATCAGTTGCCCAGTGGCGTGAGCAACATCAAATCATTCTTTCCATTTTCTTCATTGCAACTTCCTGCACTATGATTGACCTTGTGCTTTTGTGGACTTTACCAGCCCACAGGTAGGATCATCAGGGAATAGAAATGGAGTCTGTGTTGAAAGGCACAGACTTTGTAATCAGCCACTGGACAGCACCGTATGTTGTTCATGCAGTACCATGTTGTACTTGGTATCATTAGTAATAAGTAGTGGGGATGCTCTAAAAAATATACCATTTTATACAAAGGATTTGGGCTTGGGTTTACTGTCTGAGGCAGGCTGTAGAACCAGTTATCCACAAATGACTGTATATTTGATTTCAGTTTTTAATTAGTTTCTGCCGTGCCATATATGTTTTTAATCTCATTTAATTAGAGCACTTGGGCTTATGGGTTTTCGGTCCCTTACAATTAACTGTAGTTTTGTTACCCTTATATGGTGTTGAGCAGTCTGTAGACTGTAGAGTGGTGTTTGCTACCTGGAGCTGGAGTTGTGGTTCTGTCACTTAAAAAGTGATTATCTTTCCAAATTAACTAAAATCTAAAGTGGGACCGTTACATCTCGGTGTTATTGGAAAGCCCAATTAAAAATACTTGTATACTTATTGGCCTGTCATATGTTAACTGGAAGTGAGAAAAATACTTACTTTGACTGCGACTTGGTTAAGTCTTTACTCCTATTTTAAACATTCGTGTCTAAGGAGAGGACTCAGAATGAAGAATGTTGACTATTGTGTGTCATTGTGAGATTTAGAAAATGGAGATCTGATGCCTCAGCTCATGAGGTCTTTATCTAGGCCAGCCCCTGGAACAGTCTGATGACAGGGGACAAATTCTCCGATTAAGAATATCCCAAACTGAGTCTGGGGGGTGGGGATGGCTCAGAAGGTGAAGTGCTTGTTGCGCAAGCCTGGGTACCCAAGTTCAGATCCCCAGCACCCACGTAAAAGCCGAGGGTGGTGAATTGTGGCTGTAATCCTACCAGCGACAGGGAAATACTTGGACTCAGTGTCTTAATCTAGCCAAGATAGAGAACTCCAGGTTCAGGGAGAGATTTTTGTGTCAAAAAAATAGGGTGGTAGGTAGATGGGAAGTCTACCTGGGGCCTCCTTGTGCACAGGTGTAGGCAAGCACACCCTCACACTCATGCATATCACACACACACATACACACACACACACACACACACACACACGACACCTACCTCTAAAAGTTGTTTTTACTAACATAACATCCCATTTCAAATACCTACCATAGGCAAGCTTTCATCTATTTTGTAATGGGTCTTTGTCTTGTTTCAAATTGTTATTGATATATTATACCTCACTGTCTAATTCCTCTGCTTTAATTCTGAAGATTACTTGTTCTGTCTTCTTTCACGGTTGCAAGGAAAAACTGTGTAAATAAAAACAAGTTCCAACTTCTCACGTCTTTAAGGGAAACCTAGTTTGGGGCATTTAAGTCTCTATTTCAGAGTGACAGTAAATGGATGCCAACATTTCCAAACTTTTGAACCTCTGATTGCTGCTGCTTCAGTGACCAAGGGATCTAGGAACTGGGGGGGGGGGTGAACCTAAGTCCTGAATTCCAGATTGTCATGAGGTCAAATGCATTGACCCA